AGGTGTGGGAGGCCGAAGCCGACGCAGAACCTGAGAGAGCAGACTCACCAGCACCTGAGGGAGTAGACGCACCTAGAGCAGCAGCCTCGCTAGCACCTAGAGCAGCAGCCTCACCAGTACCTAGAGCAGCAGTCTCAATGCCCGGGTCGGGCGGAAAACACCGGTAACAGTCACCCTCATCACTAATAGTCACAGTAGCTATGTCATATAAATCTGACATCGACCACACCCGGGCGAATAAGGAGGGTACTACGGTAGACAGCCCCATACTGCTTTGTGAGAAAATTGGGACGGACTTAGTAAAAATCTTCGTAGACGAAGGGGCCAGCAACAGCCTTATCAACACTTCTACAGCACGAAGACTGCGACTGCCACTGGACAGATGCTTACCTGAGATTGACGCAAGACTGGTCGACGGCACGCCATTGGCAATACGGGAACGGGTGGACCGAGTTCGGATTCGATGCGGGGGTAACTTCACGTTTAGCCAGGAAATGCTCGCAACGACCCTCGACGGAACCGATATTTTACTCGGGCGTGATTGGCTGCGACGACACAATCCACGAATCGACTGGACGACGGGTGACTGCACTGTGCGAGTGAACAGTAACAACATCGCCTTACCTCGCTGGGGCTCGCCTGAGTCTTCGTCGGTGCGTGTCAACGCGATCACGATGAAACGCGCCGTAGCGGCAGGAGGTGAAGTGTACGCGGTCGACATTCAGGAAGCCGAGGCAGCAGACAAAGGAGGGGATTTACAGAAACTGCTAGCTGACGTACCGAGTGATCTGGCAGCACTGTTGAAGCAGTACAGGGACATCTTCCCGGATGACCTACCGACGGGACTGCCACCTCAGCGACCACACGACCACATGATAGAACTAGAACCGGGGGCACAGCCGACAGTACAGCGACAGTTCCGACTGACCCAACCCGAACTGGACGAACTGAGGAAGCAGCTGGATTACCTGCTCGAGAAGGAGTTCTTTCGCCCTAGTTCGTCGCCCTTCGCAGCACCGATACTGTTCACGCCGAAAAAAGACGGGGGATTTCGCATGTGCATAGATTACAGAGCACTAAACAGGGTTACCATCAAATCCCGTTACCCCATCCCGCGAGCCGACGAACTGATCGACCAACTACGCACAGCCCGGGTTTTCTCGAAAATCAACCTTCGAGGAGGCTACCACCAGATTCGCGTCAACCCACCCGACTGCCCTAAGACAGCCTTCCGAACACGCTACGGAACCTTCGAATACACCGTCATGCCCTTCGGACTAACCAACGCCCCCGCCACTTTCCAAATGACCATGAACGAAGCCTTCCACCCGCTTTTAGATAAGTGCGTCATCGTATACATGGACGACATACTGATCTACAGCCCTGACAGAGCACAGCACTTATAGGACATCGAAGCAGTTTTTAAGATACTGAGTGAGAACCGCCCACTGACAAAAGCGTACAAGTGTGAGTTTTTACAGGACCGACTGGAGTTTTTGGGACACATCATTTCAGCTGCAGGAGTGGAAATAGACCCGAAAAGGATTGCGACGATCCAAGCATGGCACGAGCCGACCAACTTGACCGAGTTGCAGAGTTTTCTGGGGTTCGTCAACTACGTGCGCCGGTTCGTCCCCGACATGGCGAAGCTGACTGCCCCGTTGACTGACCTGCTGAGGAAGGGGGTTGAGTAGACGTGGGGGGAGAAAGAGCAAGCTGCCTTCTCGGCCCTCAAAAATATTTTGTGCTCACCGCTCGTGCTTCACATCGCAGATCCGCACAGTCCGTTCGAGCTGATCACCGACGCTAGCAACATCGCTGTGGGAGCGGTACTGTTGCAGGACTTCGGGAACGGCCTTCAGCCAATCGCGTACGAGTCCCGCAAGCTTCACCCGCCCGAACGCAACTACTCGATACACGACCGCGAAATGTTGGCAATCGTGCACGCGTTCAAGGTGTGGCGATGTTACCTCACGAGAGCAGATGTGACAGTACGGGCAGACCACCGATCACTACAGGACCTGCGCGCCCAACCGAATCTCAACCCACGACAGATCCGCTGGTTGGACTACCTGGAGTCCAATTTTCACTACACGGTCACGTACAAAAAAGGCGCATCCAACATCGCCCACGCACTCACACGCCCCACCGCCCAACTGCACGCCATCTTACTCGCCCAAACCAACCCAATGTTAACAGGCCTATTCACCCACGGATACAGTACCGACCCATTTTTCACAACCGGAAATTCACAGCAACTAGCACAGGCCAGATGAGTCTATTACGTAAAAACAGGCACCAACCGCATCTGGGTACCCGCGTACTCGCTACTGAGGGAACTGCTACTACAGGAGGCACACGACGGGATTACCTCGGGACATTTCGGGGTGGAAAAAACGCGACAGCAACTGCAGCGGTATTACTACTGGCCGGAGCTGTTGACCGACGTACAGCACCACGTGGGCTCGTGTCCTACGTGTCAGGTGATGAAGAGCTCGCGAAAAAAGAAAGGCGGGTCAGTTGCAGCCGATTCCACCGCCTGAGCATGCCTGGCAGCAGGTTACCATGGATTTCGTCACGGGGTTACCTTGGAACCCTGGGGGTAACGACGCAGTTATGGTCGTCGTTGACAGATTGACGAAGATGGCACACTTCGCTGCGTGCAAGAAAACGATCTCAGCCGAGGAAACCGCTCGCCTGTTCATCGCAGCCGTCGTTCGACTGCACGGGATACCAGCCGCGATAATCAGCGATCGCGACACGAAGTTCACCAGCAACTTCTGGAAGAACCTCTGGGAGCAGTTCGGGACAAAGCTACAGTTCAGCTCGTCGTACCACCCCGAGATCGACGGTCAAACGGAGCGGACGAATCAGACGATGGAACAGTTGATTCATGCCACGTGCGACGACCCGACCACTTGGGAGCAGCAGCTGCCGCTGATCGAGTTCGCGTATAACAACGCCACGTCAGCGACGACGCAGCAGTCCCCCTTCTACCTGAACTCCGGGCAAAACCCTACAGTGCCCATGACGCCGAGTCCGGACAACCCAACACCACGTGCACAGCAATTCGCCGAAATTCTGCAGCTGCCCGCACTAGAGCCGCTGAAGCAATAAAAAAAGCTAATGCCATCGCTAAACGCAACGCTGACCGCCACCGCCGCCCAGTCACGTACTAGTCAGGAGACTACGTACTGCTCGACTTACAAAACTTAAGACTGCCTGTCGTACCGAAATTACGACCCCGCTACTGTGGACCATTCCAAATCAGCCACATGATTACCCCAGCGAGAGCTCATCTACTGTTGCCGACGGACTGGTACATCAGCCCTTCGTTCCACGTCAGCCTGCTTCGCCCATACATCCCAACCACAAGCCAACCGCCTCGTCACTGCCAGCCATCCATGACTCGCCCTGCATCGGAGCCGATCATCGAGCCCGAAAAAATCCTGAGCCATCGAATTCGACACCCCACGGGAATCAGGAGGATTGAATTCCTCGTTCGCTGGAAGGATCGCACGCCAACTGAGGATAGATGGGTGCCCCTGGCCAACATCGAAAACCACCGTGCCCTGCAAGTGTACTCGAGGAGACGGGGTTTCCGCGATATATTCGCACTCGCGTAGCCGAGGGGGCTTCTTGAGGGGGGGGGGTAGTGTAAGGAATTTTCTCGATATTCCTTAGCGCGCCCTGCAACATCGCGTACAGCAGCAGCCGTTGTTCGCCCGTTACCGCTAACGGGGCTTCGCCAACTTTGCGCGCACTGTTTTCCCAAACCTCGTACTGCTGGACCGGCCGTGTCGGCCTACGCTTCGGGACTAGCCCGAGCCTCGCTTCCAGCGTAGCACTAGCTAGCTCGCACGCACCGCGTTACCGTTTGCCTGTTTCGCGTATAAATGTTCGCTCACATTTTGGACTCGTTTGACACTTTAGTGCAATTCTCGCTACTTCGATTCATTGCACCCGTAACAGTGATGATTTTTCCACCTTGCAGCATCCAACTTTCCATCGCCTCTCCGCATCTTCCGCCGCGATCAGAGCAGACTGTGATCTTTCCTCATGTCCACTCTTCTACCATTTGATGTCATTTCCGTCGCAGCCGCGTCGAAGCTTGGTCATTCCCCGTCGTCGTCCGCCGTCAGCAGCATTGCGACTAGTGTCGCAGCTAATCACAATCACCACAGGTTACCTGAACTTCGTTCAGGCGTCGCATTCGCGCATCCATCGCCACTGCTGAAACGTCTTGTCTTCTCGCACGCGTGTCCTCACCGCATCTCCCGCCAATTTCGCATCGCTGCAACCATCTCCTCCTCATCCTTCCCATCCTCGTCTCAATCCCCCGAGTTTCCCGGAATGTCTGCCGCGGAATCTCAGTCGCCGGCAACTGTGCCGGAGCGTGCCGTCCGCTTTACAGTAACTAACGGCGACGGCAGCAAGCTCTCCGCGTTTCTCGTGGAGCCGAACGCGGCTCTCCCCGATACGACGTTCCCGGACGGTGCGATCCGTGGAAGCGCGAATGGCGGCGATCGCAGCGTCGCGGATGGCAGAGCGAAAGTGGTGATCATCTGCCATGGATTCCGGTCTACCAAGGTGTGCGACAGAATCTGTGCCGCAACGGTCTGACATGCTGAAAGAAATTGGATCATACGCACTCTCCTCTCTCCTCGCCCCTCCCACTTGCTTTTTTCGTGACAGATCAATAGTCTACCCCAGTAGTCGCATTCCCTATTCCCAATGCCGCCTCAGCAGAGAGGCGCCAACCCCGCTCCCCCACCCTTTCCCGCGTGGCCCTTTCACCGACTTCCACGCCCCGCCAATTCGTCCGTGTTCCAGTTGCGCGTGCCGTGGGTGGTGGTGACTGACTGGCAGCTGACCTCTTTCCACGCCTTAACCCCACCCCTCCGCTTCCTCTCCCATCCCCACCCCACTGTGTGGCGGTGACTGACTGACTGTCTGACTGACTGACTGACTGACCGGTGCAGCTGAGCTCTACGGTCCAGAAGCTGTCGGATGCGATCCTGGCCGCAGGATTCGCCACTGTGCGATTCGACTTCTCCGGCAACGGGTGAGGAACGCACGCAACTATGCTTGTTCCTCCTCTCCCATCACTCCCCACTCCCCCCTCGTACGTTTTGTTTCCTCCGTACCATGGGCCCGGGCACTTTGAGTCGAATCTAAAGTCTCTCCACTCCCCAACCCTCGAATTGTCCCTTCTCCACACTGTCTCTCTCCCACGCTGTGCCACTCCCACGCTGTGCCACTCCCACGCTGTGCCACTCCCACGCTGTGCCACTCCTGCGCTTTGCCACTCCCACGCTTTGCCATTCCCGCGCTGTGCCACTCCCGCGCTGTGCCACTCCCGCGCTGTGCCACTCCCGCACTGTGCCACTCCCGCGCTGTCCCCCTCCCGCGCCATTCGGCAGGGAGAGCGAGGGCGCATTCGCGACGGGCAACTACCGGCATGAGGCAGCAGACCTGCACTCCGTGGTGGAGTGGGTGCGGGCGCAGGGCAGGCATGTGGAGGCGGTGGTTGGGCACAGCAAAGGTGCTGCTGGGATAAGGAAAATGAAGGATTATGTGTTGCATTTTGCTTGTTGGTTCAGTAGGGGTGATGAGCTAAAGGCTGCTATTAAAACCATTGAATCACCATTGGCAGCAGTATTCCTTAATCAACTGTGTGGTGCTGTGTGGTGCTGTATGCGTCCTTGTACAAGGACGTGCCCAAGGTCATCAATGTCAGTGGCCGCTACCTGTACTCAACGAATCACCAGTGGCCACAGTGTTTCCCAATCCCTCTCTCTGTCTCTCTCTCACTCACGCACGCACACACTCACACACACACGCATGCCCGTGTTCAGGTGGCAACTGTGTGGTGCTGTATGCCTCCTTGTACAAGGACGTGCCCAAGGTCATCAATGTCAGTGGCCGCTACGACCTCTCAAGGGGCATCAGGGAGCGATTCGGGGAGGAGGGAATGGCGAAGCTGGAGAAGGAGGGGCAGCTAACCCAGCAGGACAAATATGGTGTGTTGCTGGTACACTGGGATCAAGTCTCTTGTCTCTACTGCGTTTGTTATTTCCCCTTCTTCCTCATTTTATGCACCATCTCTTGCTGCTGCACTTTTTCCAACCTGTATCCACCCTACTCGTACTGTCACACTCATCGACCCGTACATAGGCTCATACATTGTAACAAAAGAGAGTATTCAAGAGCGCCTTGCAACGGACATGGCTGCTGCGGCACGCGCCATCCCAACATCTTGCAGGTATGCGATATCCTACTGTACTTGCTAAATGTGCTGCCTGATTTTCTTTTCTGGAAAAAAATCAATGTTGAGTTCTGCCATGTGGTCCTCTCCAGTTTATCTTCCTTATCTTAGAAGTATGTCATTATCCCTCACTTCGCATCGGAATCTCGTCTTGACTCGTCAGAATCAAATGCTATGCCCTGACTCCTGTGCTCATTAACAGTGTGTGTACAATCCATGGATCAGAAGACGCCACAGTGCCAGTCGAAGACGCGAGCTTTTTCCACACAGATGTTCCCAACCATCACCTTCACATCATTGACGGTGCCTGTCATAACTTCAGGATCCACGGTCGGGAGTTGGGTGAGGCAGCTGTTGCTTTCCTCCTCAACAAGCATGTGTAGCGGATCTTAGGGGCAGCTTATATGTTGGGATGAACCTTTGATTCATCCATCTCTTTAACACACTAGAAGCAGTAGAGTAGATAGATTGGTTTTTCATACATGGTGGGTTTGACAACAAAGAGGATTTGGCGCTTACTGTGCAGTTCACTGTTGAATGGGACCATCACTTGTTCCGCGATCTGATTGGCTCAACCTGGTCGTAACCTGCCCTGCCTGGCCTTTCACCAGCGTCAATTGCCCTTGAAAACACAAACCAAACATTCTCCTTCCCCCGCGCCTGTCATCGCATAGGCGGGCGGAGCTATCACTTCCCCCTTCTTTTCCGCCGTCTGGGCAACTTCTCTGCGAATCCGCAAAATGGTCCTTAGCGGAAAAGCGGACTTGCGCACACCGCGGGGCAATCCCAAGAATGTTCATCATCCACCCACTCCCCTCGATATTGTACGGCAGCAATACTACCTATCACCCACTTAGCGCTTAGCACTAGGAATCAACATCCGTCATCGCAGTCCGCGCCAGGTGCTACGCTGCACCGCTTTGCTTGATCCGCGGTGAAGCTCCACCGCCGTCTCGTTCAATGCTGGCACGCATTGCTTAGCATAACTGCATTCGCTCTTCTTCTACTTGAGATTCGACAAACCGTGTGCGCATCGCGGCTGATGGTTGGCACAATGAAGGTTCCCTGGAAGGTGGCGTCCGGGTCCGTGACCGTTCTCGCTCTTTCGTTGCTCGCTGCTATCTCCGCCGCTGGCGCGTCCACAGGAGGCCTCGATGCCGGTATCAGTCGCTAACAGAACACCTTTTGCGTACTCAAATCGGTGTTTTTGTGCTGATAAGCTTTTAGAGCCCGTAAATGAGGCTCGCTCGTGTTTCGTGACCCTCAGCCCGCTTTAAACGTTCAGCCTTCCTTCTCTTCCAATCTGTCTCGCTTCATTCCGTTTTTCGACGCAACCTCAACCGCAACCTCCGTTTCTGTTCACCTCACTCGTACTCATTCCATCGGGATTTTCCGACATTGCTGTACGCGCTGATTGCGCCAGCCTCCTTCCGTCCCCCACTTCCTGCGCCATTCCGGGTCCCACTCCCCATGCCCCTTCTCTTCCCTTTTCCTTTCCCCTCTCCCCTCTCTCGCGCTACTCTACCCTCCCCTTCCTGCCCCTCCCCTCATCCCCCCTTCTCCCGTCCACCCGCCCACCTCCACACCGTCCCCCCGCCCTTCCACCGCGCGCCAGTCCCCGTGCGCATTGACTGCGGCAGCGCACAGCCATCCGTGGCAAACGGAGTGGAGTGGCAGGCGGACGCGTTTTTCGACGGCGGGGAGGCAGTGCAGCTTCCCGCGGGCAACGAGTCGCGCCTCGCATCCTCCGTCGAGTCCTCGCTGCGCGCCTTCCCCCCGTCCACCAGCCAGTCCGGCCAGGGCGGCGGCTGCTACAACGTCCCGCTCACCACCGGCGCGCGATACCTCGTCCGCGTCGGCGTCGCGTATCGGAACTACGATGGCGCGTCGTCGCCTCCTTTTTTCGACATTAAGATCAACGGGCTACTCGTGAAGACCCTCACTCTCCCAGCCGTCGAGCCGCAGTTCCCATCGTCTGCTTTCTACTCCGATTTCCTGGTATACGCGCTACAAGGTTCCATCTCCGTCTGCTTTACACCGTTCCTCGGCGCCCCATCTTCCACCCCATTGGTCAATTCCCTCGAGTTCCTCCCGATCCACCCAGAGTCATACGACGCAGCTAGCATCGGCACCGATGCTATCCTCTCCACCCTGCTCCGAATCAACTTTGGAGGCCCGGAGGTTACCGATGCTGAGGATGTTGGTTACCGAACCTGGGCTCGCGACGTCAACCCTGGCGTTCCAGGAGGAGGCCCCACCAGGGGCCTACAGCCTCTGCAATTTGCCACCCTATCCACCACCCAGTCCATTTCAAATGCAGGGTCGCCGCCCGACGAGCTGCCCGCGCAAATCTTTCAGTCTGCCCGGGTGGGTAAGGACGCAGGTGTGGGCCGCGCAACGGGGTTTATTTACCGAATGGACCCACAGAACCCCCTCCACCTGTTCTACGTGCGGCTACACTTTGCGGAGATAGAGGAGGGTGTGAAGCAGGGAGACCGACGGTTTGACATTAAACTGTCAGAGGACAGCATTTTTGGTCACGAGGGTCAGCACCTGGACGAAGATACAGTAGACCAGCAAGGAAAGCTCTGGCCCAACGGGTTTGACATCATTGAGGCTGCTAACGGGTCTGCCTTTACGGGGGTTACACTGCCGATATTCTTCAATTACTCGGTGTATGCGGAGAATTACGGACGGGAGCTGCGGGTGTGGCTGCCTGCTATGCCCGAATCGCCCAAGCCCCCTCTGCTGTCTGCTGTGGAGCTCTACGAGATCACGCGCACACCTGTTGATGGATACGTGTACCGAGGTGATGGCTGCTTGTGTTTTTCTGAACTTTGTCCTTGGGGGTGCTGGTGGTTTACTTTCACTTAAGGAAGTGCGCTGAATTGCTGTGTCTTACTTCTCTTTTGTGGTGTTGCTCTTCTTCTTAATCCCGGGGTGGTCATGCAGGCGTGACAGGCAGTGACATTGCAGGCATTGTGATGGCGTGCGTCTTTGGTGTCATTTTTGTGCTGCTCCTTGCATGGCTCCTGGCCGCCCGCTTCACTCGCAGCTCCCGCCAGTATGCCATCTTTGGCGCTTCCGGTGAGACTCGCAGCTTCCAGCATTCCCCCTCACTCTCATGCCTTGGAGCTTTCTCTGCTAGTTGCAATAAATCCCATTTTTGCCAGTTTTGCTTAGTTGTTCCCGCTCAAATTTCCGTGTCATATGCACTCCATCTTGTGTTGGGCCATCTCTGCCTGTGGCAGGTAAACACAACCGCAGCAGCAATATCTAATGGCCTTCCACATCTCGCAGACATGTATTTAAGTTGTGTGGATTGTAAGAATATCAAAAATATTCCTAAGTGGGTAGCAGAGCATTGCACATACAGCAGTTGTCATTTGTACATTTTAGAGATTCTGCGGTCTAGGTTCACGTAGAAATGTACGTAGGCCGAATAAATAGATGTACAACATTGCGACAGCAGAATTCATTATCCTGGTTCTAAGGAACAGTTGGGGACGAGATGGTGGTTGAACGAAAATCTCGGGGATTGGTGTTTGCAAATATCTGTTTGGCTGGTGTGGAATGCAACTCCCACGCCACTGGAGAGAAAGGCTCTGGAAGCCCCATGTTTCTTTTGCAAGCTGCCCCATGGCCTGCACTTGCGGGTGGCGGCGCTGTGACGTTGATTTGCTGGTGCCACGTCACATCCTCCCCCCAAGCCCAACCAGCACAAGATCAAGGTGGAACACAGAGATCTTCGCGCTTTGGGTCAGGAAAGTGCGTTCCTGCCCTTTCCTCTCCACCGGTGTCCATCCAGCCGTTCATTCATCTAAATGACAAGATCCAGGAGTTTTTGCGGATAATGAAAAAAATGTTCCGGACGCGGCAGCTTCTGTGGAATACCCCAAGAACCCCCCACCCAGAAGTGTCCAGCAGCTTCCCCCAGCTGTCTTCCGTTCGCATCACAACCACAACCCTTACTCCGCTGACTCTTCTCTCCGTCTCCCCGTTTGTCTTTCTAACACCCGCTCTCCCTGTTCGTTAGCAGTCGCCTTCTCTAGCCGCCATACCCTTCGCACCTACCTTACGATCTGACTCTTCATTCCTTAGTTTCTTCCTCCGTCCTTCAATCCCGCGTTACAATGGCCGGAGTTGCGGCTCCAGGTCCTTCAGACTCAAGTAATTATAGGGCTTTGCACGTTGGATGTACTAGGGGGTTAGGGTGGAAGTCACGTGCGAGGGTTTTGTGTTAAAGCCTTTCTATTGTGTTTGGAATAGATCTAAGAGCCTTTTGATGTACAGGACGCCGTCGTCCCAAGTTGGTTGTCCGCTGTCCTCATTTTCAATTTTCGCTAAAAGCATAGACAGGATCTTTTTAGGCTGCAACGTATCTCGCAAGAAAAATCGTGATTTAACGAGGTTTTTCGACAAGATAGGGATATCATCTGTCGTCTTTGTTTTACATGAAATCTCGTGCAAGAGTCGCTTGCACAAGTATAGATCACGATTTTTGTTTTTTTACTTTGCCACGATTGTGGCTGTTGAATATTTCTCACAACGGCTTGCCCTTCTCCGCCTTTTTTTTTTCCCGTCTTATGCAGATCAGACTAACGCACCCACCCCTGGGTCTTCATCCATTGGTGCAGAGGTCCGTGTACCTTTCCGTTAAACCCGCTTCTTTTTCTGACTATTACGACGTCATTCAAGGCCCCTTTCCCCATTTTTCATCTTCGCGTTTCAACTTGATAAATCCACTATATAGGAACCATTGCTCAGCCGGCTCAACGAAGAAATGACTTGCGATTGCATTTGAAGAAATGAGTTCTGATTGCATACAAGCATTGTCATTGCGGTTCCCACTCTTGTTTCCAAAACCCCGTTCTTCGGCATTTTCGCCATCAGCCAGCAGGCGATGCGGTCGTCCAATCCAGCCAGAGCGGGGAGGCAGTTTCGGGAAGCGGCAATGCGCAGCAATCACAGCAGCCTTCCCAGCAGCAGCAGCAGCAGCAGCAGCAACCACAGCAGCCACACCCGGGCATTTCGCAAACGCCAGATCAGCTGCATCTGCAACAGCAGCAGCACATGCAGCAGCAGCAGCAGCAACAGCAGCACGTTCAGATGGTTCCAGGATCAGACCCCAACGGGAATGTGTTTTATGCGGCGGGGAACGGATTCGTTCCGCACTACTTTTATGATTATTCTGCAGGTACGTTCCCCGTTCAGTTTGATTTTAGAAACCCACACATTCAGAACGCTTTCAAAAACATGGATCCATTTCCCCTGCGTTTTGACCACATTCGCTGCTGTCGCGCTGTCAAACTCATTTTCTAATTTTCGTCTTCGCGTTGTCGAATCCGCTTTTCCGTGTTCCCGTCGGCGCAGATCCTGGAAGGTTATCCCACGAGCAGTGGGAGGAATACATGCGCATGGCCAACAGCGGTGCTCCCGGAGGGGGCCCCCCTCTCGTCGGTCTCATGCCTGAAGGCATAGAAGGCCATCCTCCCCAGGTGAGAATCGATTGATGTTCGGCTTGCGAAATATTGTTTTCTTCATTGCATGCGTGTTTCCTTCTGATTCCTTAACTATCCATTTGCGTGCTCGTTTGTTTACTTCCTGTGCTCACCCTGTGTCGTTCCGTTCCCTTCACCGGCCTTGTTTCCTGTGTGTGATTCTGATGCGCTTCAGATGTACGCGCCACACCACTTCCAGTTCCAGCCGCCCGTCTTCCCACCGCCTGTTCCTCCCCCTCCTGCTGGTAAGCTTTCCACTACTGGGAAACAACGAACAACTTCCGACCGATCAAACAATTTCTGTCCAGCTCCGCCTGTGGCCTTCCCGTCTTCCGCCTTGTGTTTTTTTATTTGTCAAGAATCATCGGCCTTGCTAAATCTTGTGCATCTTCTCCCTTCCTCCCCTCCTTCCCGTCAGATCCATCGAAGCTCGCGGCACTGCCCGATCAGCTGACTCAGCCCGCCAGCTCGTCCGCGCCCGCACCAGCGGACGCCATGGCGGGTCCCATGCCGCTCCTTCCAGGCCAGCCCCTGCCCGCGGGAATCGCCCCGCCGCCGCACCTTGCGCACATGCAGGTCCGTGCTCTCGCTGCTGCGGATCTTGCCTTGCTGCTGTTTCCGTGGGCTTGCGTCCACAACGGTGGTTTACAGTCTCCGGCTTCTTCTTGCGTCGTAGGATTGCTGTTCTAGGATGTACGATTCCTGTATAGTCTCCGGCGCTGCTGGCTGCTTACCAAGGCATGATTTGCTACTCTTGCCGCCACCGCACCATTCATGCCGTCCGAGGGTTTGTAAAAACTGGTGGTCTGCCCCTCTCGAAACACAAACGCGCTTTCTCCGTTTCCGCTCCTTGCCTTCGTGCATGTCACCCCTGCACTTTCCCAGATGCACGGCGTCCCCCCTAACGGTGTCATGCCACCTCAAGGCGTCCCGCTTCCCGGCGGGCCGCCGCCCCCCGGAGGCCCAGGCGCCGCACCGGGGGCGCCAATTCCCATGCGCGGCCCCCCTGGCGCGCACCTCGGAAACATGCCCGCGGGCATGCACGGCCGCGGCGGAATGGGCCCCGGGGGAGTTGGCGGGCGTGGAAGGGGGGATGGGGGCCGGGGAGGACGGGGCTGGGGCGGAGGCCCCGGGGGGTATGACAAGGGAAGAGGCGGAAGGGGAGCGAGAGGTGCCAGGGGAGGGTACGGCGGGTATCCGGGGGGGATGATGATGATGGGCGCACCTGGTGGGGGGCGTGGGATGCAAGGCAACGGGATGCATGAGGCCGTGAACGAGCAGAACCGCGGGCCTAGGACCAACCGGGCGGGGCGGGGGAAGCAGCCGCAGCAGGCAATGGGAGCAGCAGGTGCGGCGGGTGCACCTGCTGACGGCAGTGCGCAGGCAGGTGCTGCTGCAGCGGCAGGAGCAGCAGGGGCGCAGGGTGGGGTAGCAGGGTCAGAAGGAGCGGCTAACAGCGGTGCGTCTTCCTCTGCTGCCGCCGGCACCGCTACTGGCGCTGCTGCTGGCGGTGCTGCTGCTAACACTGCAGCGGCAGAAGGCGGCGCTGCGAATGCAAGCAATGCCGCTGCGCTCCCTGCTCTCGCCGGCACGCCCGGGTTCCTCGCGTTTCCTGGCATGCCCGGCGGTCCTGCGCCCGGATCGTATGCCACTCCCGCCATGGGAGCCCCCCCCGCCAATCCTGCTGCCGCCGCCGCCGCCGCCGCTGGTGTTGCGGGCGTTGGCGCGCCGAATCCCTGGAGCCTTGTACAGGGTATGGAGGAGATTAATAGGGCGGATTTCCCGGTGACGTACCAGGCGGCAAAGTTTTTCGTGATCAAGAGTTACAGCGAGGACGACGTGCACAAAAGTATTAAGTACGGCGCGTGGGCGTCCACCCCCAACGGCAACAAGCGGCTCAACGCCGCGTTCCAGGAAGCTGCCGCGAAGACCGCTGCGACCGGGTCGCGATGCCCCGTGTTCCTCTTTTTCTCGGTGCGTGCAATCTCCTTTGCATGGCCTGTCCCTGATTCTCACCATTGGTTCTGCTAGCCGTTCTGCATTTTGCCATGCCATGTCTCTCTTTCATTGTACCCTGCCCTCTCTCCTCTCCCCCCTGAACCTTCCCGCCAACCCCCAGCTCCTTTCTCTTTGTCCTCGCTTTCTGATCTCACATTTCAGCAAAAACATATGCATTGTTCAAAAGAATAACCACCTGTTGCCAACTGCCCTCGTCATCCTGTTCTCACCCGCACCACCACCCTTACCTCCTCCGCGCTTCACCCCACCGCGCGTCTCTGCGCCCTGCGTCGCCCCTCCGGCAGTCCCGGTGGCTGGCGGAGATAATGTCCCCTCACATGCTTCCTCTTCCCCTCTCCCGGCCCTTTATCCCGTCCTTTCTCCCCAACACCCCACCTTGCTTCCCCCCCGCCAGGTGAACGCGAGTGGTCAGTTCTGCGGCGTGGCGGAGATGATGTCCCCTGTGGACTTCCAGCGGTCGGTGTCGTTCTGGCAGCAGGACAAGTGGAATGGGCTGTTCACGGTGCGCTGGCACGTGATCAAGGACGTGCCCAACGCGCACTTCCGCCACATGATCATTGCGGCCAACGAGAACAAGCCCGTCACCAACAGCCGCGACACCCAGGAGGTAGGGGTTTTGGATGAGGGAGAGTGGGAGGTGGTCGGAGGTGGCGGAGGGATTTTTTTTTGTGAGGGAAAGGGGGCGGATGGGAGGGAGGGGAGTGGATGGGGGGGGGGGGGGTTGGGTGAAGGGTTGGTGGTGTGCGGTTGGGGGAAGTGGAGGTGGGGTGGTGAGAGCTGGGTGGGATGATGCTGATGTTATGTAGGTGTTTTGGAAGGGTTTCGGGTTCAATGGTTGTTGCGTTCTTGTGTTTGTATGCACGCATGCTGCATGTGATATTGTCGGTGTGCATGCATGTGTGGATGTGGGTGTGTGTGCGTGTGTGTGCATGTGTGCGTGTGTGCGTGTGTGTGCGTGTGTGCGTGTGTGTTCGTGTGTGCGTGTGTATGCGTGTGTGTGCATGCTTGCATCTGTGCAGGTGCCGCAAGAGCAAGGGCAGCAGATGCTGCGCATATTCAAAGACTACATGTCCCGCACCTCCATTCTCGACGACTTTGACTTTTATGACAAGAGGCAGAAGGCCATGCAGGCCCGCAAGGAGCGGCTGCAGTACCAGCAGCACCACCCGCACCCCCAGCACCCACAGCAGCAGCAGCACCCGCATCAGCAGCAGCAGCAGCAGCAGCAGCACATGCAGCAGCACCCGCACCACCGCCAGCAGCAACACATGCTGGCGTTCCCGCCTCTGCAGCACCACAACCAGCAGCCGCACCCGCATTACCATGGTGGCCCGTATGGCCGCGGGGGCATGCACCGACACCAGGTATGCGCCTATCACCCTTTCTGCTATCGTCTCTTCCTGCTATGCTTTGTTTCGTCTCGCACTGCACTGCACTGTCTGATGGGCTTCTCGTTGTGCGTCCTTAACCTTCCTCGCCCCAGCTAGATTGTTCTTATACACGTGTTTTCTGTCCCTTCCTTGGTGTCTCAACACGAGTCCTGCTTGTGCCCCCACTGTGGTACCTTGTGCTTTCACCACCCCACAGCGTGCGTACCCTCCCAACCAAGGCCGGGGCCAGCCCATGCAGTCAACCCAGCCGCCTGCCCCAGGGGGGCCTGCAGGAGCCCCCCCTGCAGCAGCTGAGGCAGCAGCAGCTGGAGCAGCCACCACTGCCCCTGTTGCTTCAGGCCAGGCTTCTGCTGCCCCTACTGCTGACAAGGCTCCTGCTGCTGCTGCCCCTGCTGGTGCTGCCGATTCCGGTTCTGCGGCGGCAGAAGGGGTGTCTGCCGCTGCTGGCGCCACGTCTGTCACTGTTGGTGAGGTGACTGAAGCACTGGGTTCCTTGAAGGTGGGTGGGGGTGCTGCTGCTGCTGCAGGTGGTGCTGACTCCACTGCTGCTGCTGCTGCCCCGGCAGCTGTGGATTCTGGAGCTGCTCCTACCAAGGCAGAATCTTCCAAGTGATTTCGTTTGTAGTGACTCGATAGCTTCTTTCATTGGTACCCTTGGGAGAAATGGGGAGACTACAGGTTCTGGTTGGTTGGTTGGTTGTTCTAAGGGTTGGGGCTTATTGAAACCTGTCTTATCTGCTCTGGGGTTTGGACGGGGTGTCTGAATGTGCTGTGAAGGTTGGCTCTTGGTGCATTTTGAAAAGAAGCACCGTGTGGAGTTGACTTTTGGTTCAGGGGGGCCCGGGACGGGAGAATTTGAGTGCGATTCTTAGGGGTGGAAGGAGATTTCTGAGGTAGGCTAGTGACTACAAGCTCCAAGACTGATACCATGCAGGATCTTGCGGTGCTTGCCTTAGGGTGGTGGGTAAAGGAATTGCAATTGCAGTTGGAAGAGTTGGGCCTGAATTGTGGGAACTGAACTGAACTATGTAAGTGCCGTTTATTGTTTTCACTTTGCTCTCCCTAGTGTTTTGCAGTTTGGGAGCAAGGTCAATTGCTGTTGCGTAATCGGGTAAACCGACATAGAAGACATTGTTCAAATCAGCCATCACACAGGATGAGAGAAAACATAAATATATATACATTGCAGAGTACATACATGAGAGATTCATCCTGTTCTAATACAGAACCATTCACATTAGAACCCTCTCATGGATGTACAGAGGCAGCTGAGAAGGAAATCAAGAGTTTAGGCAGCAAATGTCAGTAGGGAAAAGATCCCTCATCACGGGGGAAAGTTTACCGTAAGTATGGAGAGGTGTGGTGCAGCTGTAGGAGTGGAATGGTACAGATGAGACGGAGAGAGAGAGAGAGAGAGAGGAGCAGTGCAGTGTGCACTGCAGCAATTAGCAGCAGCCGCGACTTGTGGCACAGACACTGCTGCTCACTGCTTGGCACGAGCTTGACTTGACTTCTCATGGATGATTCATGTCAAGTCAGGGTGGATCAGGTTGGTAGGTAGGATGTTTCTTGCTTGCTGGCAGGCTGACTCTAACAAACGGTATATGGTCCAATCCATGGCACTTGGTGCTTTCCCGCACCAGCATGGATTGGACAGGCGGTATGAGAGTCACTTGAGCAGCGTCAGGGGTGTAATGTCAGTGGAGGAAGGTAAATGGAGGAGCATCAGTGGAGGAAGGTCGAAGGAGGAGCGTCAGTGGAAAGAAGGTAAAAGGAGGAGCATCAGCGGAAGGAAGGTAAAAGGAGGAGCGTCAGCGGAAGGAAGGTAAAAGGAGGAGCGTCAGTGGAAGAAGGTCAAAGGAGGAGCGTCAGCGGCGAGAGCGTGAGCATGAAGCGGAGCAGCACATATCAATGGAAGAGCAAGCGCCGCATGACACGCCTGTGGTCAAACGGAGGGTCAGTTGAGCAGCGTCAGTGGCAAGTGCGTGAGCAGCACGAAGCGGAGCAGCACATTATCAGTGGAAGAGCAAGCGCCGCATGACACGCCTGGCTGGAGTGCCGGCTTCTGCTGCCCGCAGCAGATGCGCAGACGCCGACCCAGCAGGTAGTCTGGGCTTGCGGGGAGTGCTGGGGCAGGTGAGCGGCGCAGCAAAAGGGTCAAACAGCCGCCGAGGGGACTGCAGGCTGGAAGGGGAGTGGGGAGGCTCTTCTTCTGCCGCTGTGGCTTCTGGTGCTGCCAGTGCTGGCGGTGCTGCTGGTGCCGCTGGTGCTGGTGGTGATGGTGCGGGTGGTGGTGGTGGTGCCGCTGGTGCCGGTACTGCCGGTACTGCTGGTGCTGATGCTGCTGGTGCCGGTTCAAGAAAGTTAGCAGGTATAAGCGCCAGTGGGCCGGGCTGGGAGGGTGCTGAAGGTGGGAGCATGGACTGGTTTCCTGTGGAGAAGAGGGAGAAAGGAAGAGAGCAAGAGGGTAACGGGGGGGGGGGGGGGGGGGGGAGTGTGAGTGCGAAGAAGCAAGGGTGCGAGGGAGGGAGAATGAGAGAGAGAGAATGGAGGAGCAAGGGCGCGCGCAAATGGCAGCTGCGAAGGAGGTGACAGCCATTTGTGTGCCATAAAAAATCCACTTACCCTCAGACGCATTGCCTGCAGCAGCAGGAGCTTGCAATATCACAGCGGGGCCAGGAGTGATACAGGCGGAACCGGAATCGGAACCGGGATCGGACCCGGGATCGGACCCGGGACCGGAACCGGCAGAGGTAAAACTCCGCTGTTGCTGTGTCTGTTGCTGTTGCGGCTGCAGCTGCATCTCCCCGCTCTCCTCCTCGCGGTGCTCCCCCTCGTGTAGACTCAACTGCAGCATGCGCCTCACTCCAAAGCCCACAGTCGGGCCCTCCTTCTTCTGCTTCTTGCTCCTCTTGTTGTTGTTTGACCAATCCATGTCGCCTTCAGCAGCAGTAACAGCAGCAGCAGAAGCAGCAGCAGCGACACCAGCAGCGATGATAGTGGAGTGAGCAGCAGCAGAACACTCTACGTCCGCTGCAGCGTGAGTATCCTTCAACCCTGCCAGCAGCACGGCACACTGCAGCCTGCTACGCGCCCTGGGTCTCTTCGTGTGCCGTGGGCTGCCTGTCAGCCCTCCCAATCCTTCCGGTGCTGCTGTTTCTGCTGTGGCTGCCGCTGTTGTCGTTGCTACTGATCCAAGCCTATCCCATGCAAGCGCCGTGGGCGGGGAGACGCAGGGAGAGCCGTCCAGATGAAGAGGCGGAGGCATGGCGACTGTGGGCTGGGCTCTGGCGGGGCGGTGCAGAGAGCACGGCGCGTGCAAGTGCCTGGGACTGCCGCCTGGACGGCTGCTCCTGCCGAGGTGGCGGTAGAATGGGTGGCAGGGACCAATAGAAACCTCCGTGTGGTTACCAGCGTCGTTGGCAGCCTCGTTAGCAGCGTCGTTACAGGTGTGGTTACCAGTGTGGTACTGGAACTTGAGAGGGAGGAGATGATTCTTGGTAGTCTCAAAGGCAATGTCCGAGTCGCTGCTGCTGCTGCTGCAGCTGCCTTGGCTTCCGCTCTTTATCTTGTGCTTCGCGTCCCTCACGCCACCACCGCCGCCGCCACCGCCGATGCTGCCGCTACTGCTGCTGCTGCTGCTGCTGCTGCTTCCGCCGCTGCTGCTGTTGCTGTTGCCGCCCCGATTGCAAACTGCCGTTCCCAGGAAGGCGAGTTTCATTCTGGAAAGCACCCCTTCTGTCTCCCACTGGCCGTTCACCAGGGAAGGGGGAAGGGGGAAGTGGGGAGAGGAGGTGTCGAAGAAGTCGTCTTGTGAAGATGTGTGTGCTGCCCCCCTTGTACTGTGCCTCACAGCAGCACAGCACGGCTGCACTCGCGGCAGCAGGTGACCGTCACGGGAGGGATCACTGACCACGTGCCACGTGGCACGAGGAGATGAGCACGCGCGGAGAAGAGCGCCGAGCCAAGGAGGGCGCGCGTGGACGAACGCGCTTCGAGTGTCAATGAGCCTTCCAGGGATTAAAGGTTAATACCTTCGGAGGTACTAGTAGCTACTAGTGGATGGTCGTGGTGGTTTCCGCTAGTGGAAGTCGAAGTAGCCACTAGTTAATGCTTTTCAAAGCCCGCCGCAGATACCAGCATTGGTAGTACTTCTAGTGTTGATAGTAGGGGTGCGCGAAACACGCAGGTCGGGTCTCCGCGATAAGAGCGAAAGGGAAGAGCCGTGCCAGTGGCGAGACACAGGCTGACGAGAGACTCTCGGGAAGAAACGGGGAAATGAGGAGGTGAGGAAGCAGAGGGGATCTTATGCGTCTGCTTCCCCTACAGTCGAAAAGTGTCTTGGCATTCCTGGGCGACGGGCGTGCGGAGAGACCAAATACAGGGGAGGATCTTATCGCCTCCCTTGCTCGCTCGCCCGTTGCTCGTTTGCCTTGACTTAGCGCGCGTTACTGGGGGTTCGGATCGGTCGCGTACTACTAGGGGTAGGGGACCGGTGTGGGTGGCAGTATTGAATACGAGATGAGAGACGAGCGACACCGGGGAAGTGCAGCAGGCATGCAGGCAGCAAGTGCGGCGCAGAGAAACGGATCGGGTCAAACCGTCCCGCTCACCTTCTCACCGCTCACGCACACTGCTCTCGCTGCTCGCTGCAAGCGGGTGAAGGGTGGGGGGAGAGGAGGGGAGGGAAGGGGGAATGGTAGGGAGGGCGGAAAGGTGCGGGGGAACGGAGGAGGCGCGTTGGTGGGTCCGCTTTTCCGTGTTCTCCGTTTTGGGTCAGACTTGCACACCCTCGCAGGGGGCAGAGGGGGTGGTCGAGCAATGTCTAGAACTGCTGCTGGTCACACCCTCACAGGGGTGACAGGGGCCACCGAGTCGTGTTGTCCCGTGGGGCCTCTGCGTCAGAGGCTCTGACCATTACTGTACCGTAGTGATCACTCTGTATTGAGGACCAAACGAGCAACTTCCAGGTAGGTTAGTAGCGATTGTAGGGGATTTGGGGGGAGGGTGAGGGGAGGAGAGGAGCGGAGGGGAGACGAGAGGAAAGGAGAGGAGGGGAGGGGAAAGATGGAAAGGGGAGGGGATGGGAAAGGAGGAGGGGGGAGGGGAGGGGAGGGGAGGGGAGGGTGGGAAGGAGAAGCACCTCTGACTTCACGTGGAGCGCGGGTGTGCTTACTTGCTAGCCTGCGTGCGTGCATTGACGCATTGAAGCAACAGATCGGGGTTTGGTCGTGGCAGGACGGGATTGAGTGGTGGCGAGGCGAGTTGCAGTGGGTGGGTGGATTCTGCTCTCGCAGTCTCGCGGCGGCCTCGCATCGGCCCAGGGCAAAAAAGAGTTTGCTCTTTCAAACTCCAAAAAGCAGAAAGTGGGGATGGATGGAAGGGTGGGTGGGTGAGTGGGAGAGGTGGCTGCTTCTGTAACTCAGGGGTGTACTACTTTCACTACAAATTACTACGGAACCGCAGAGGGTTTGCGCGGCTCTCGGCCCGCCGAGCACTGGATGGTACGCTAGGCTGGGAAGAGCGTCTCCTTTCGATTCGGAGGAGTTCGTCCGTTTCCCTTCAGCTGGCCTGCCAGTGGCTGGTACTGTCGGCGGGGAGAGCAGGTAGCAGCAGTACAGGAGGGATGACCTGACCACGTGAGAGAGGGAGCGAGGTGAGGCGAGACAAGGCGAAGGAAGGGAAGGGAAGGGAAGGGAACCGCGCAGGTCAACCGTCGTCGAGTGAGAAAGAGGCGGCTCGGAGTGAAGTACGCCCACACCACACAAGTACGGCGAGGTACTTAGTTGTATATCCTAGCGGAAAGGACCAGAGATTCTAGTGAGGTAATGCTCGCACTTGAAACGACCAGAGATTTCTGCCGGGCCCCAGTTTTTGGACTAGGGAAGAGATGCGCCTGTGGTGGGCTGAGCTCGCCTCGCCAGAATGCAGACCCATCTGTCCACCTTCCCTTTCTATTTCTCACCAATCGATCCGCGTTGCGTGGATTCGTTCTCCGAAAACCGGTCTCGTTTGTCGCTTGCTCCTGTCGCGCGGGTGACCAAAATACCACTGTATCAAACACAGACACACGATGGCAGCACAGAAGAACAACCAGTCGGAATTGGGGCGCAAGGTGAGGGTAGGGCCAGACCCAGCAGTAGCAGACAACAGCAAACAGTCTCACTCACACGTTCAGCTGAAGGGCGAACTGTGGACATTTGAAAAAGAAGTCGAGGAGTCGCGGCATTCTTGCACTTTGCATCGAGCCGCTGCTCTATGCAAAAAGGAGATGAATGTGCGACTCGTACAAGTACATTGAGACGGTTGCGCCTCGACGTTTTATCCAATGAACAATCAGCTGGTCAAACGGGCAACTTTTGGCAGTGTTGGGTTCAGAAGTTTTTTTTTTGAACCAGGCTTGCCAGCGCGAAAGTGCTGGCTGGCGAAAACCAGGATTTCGTGCGGACACTTTCCATCCGCAGTAACAGTTCGCCAGGGTTCTGGGTTTTGGGTGGCAAATGTGCACCGTCGCTTTAACATTCTGTCTACATGAACGTTGAGGTGGCGTTACACAACAGGCTACAATATTCGCCAGCCAGCTGCGCTGTCAGTCACAAACAGTTGACCATTAACCGTTTTCCGTTGATCGTCAGACAATTTCATCAACTGCACAATAAAATGTTCCGATATAGTTTCTCAGTTGAGAAATTGTGTGCTCAGTTGGCGTTTTGAGTTTCTGATGAAACCATAGCTATTCACGCATATACCATTTGTAGTAGTTGTATGTACACCTAGTATATGTGCTCAATACACACACGGACAGTTTTTTTTTGTGTAAATTTATGTTTTGGAGTTTCCTAGTTATTATAGCCATAACTGCGCATTCACAATATTCATATTCACCAATAAATATGAAATGGTGACTGTTTAGGTATAGCTAAGTTGAACATGTTCTTTCATCCCATGTCGCTTCCGCTAACGTGACCCTCAAAACGTGTGCAGCCAGCGTGGAATGCGTTCTTGCGTTGCGCAACGATCCGCACAGACTTTTGCTGACGCATCTTAAATTCACCAATAAAGCCTCGAGCGGCTGTACAGCATTGCAAGGAATTTTTGAAAACAAGCCGACTTCGGTCTCAAATGTTGCCTGGTGGAGATGTTATCCAGAAAAGAAGAAAAACTAAACGTCACTGGAGGTAGTTGCGGGTCTTTCTTGACAGTCAATTTTAACAACCCAGCAAGACAGTGTACAATCAGTGAAGGGCCTTGCTAGTCAGTGTATTTCCGTGCATTATGATCTTGTTTCGGGCAGCTCCGGGAGCAATTGCGGTGTGGCGTTCTACATTTTTCTAGATTGGATGGCAGCGCAGCTACAGTGTCTACAACGTGTATCGATTCTTTGCGACCAAGCGAGATCGAATCGCCTTTCTCATCTTGCATGTGTTGCGCTGAGCCCTGCGGGACAGGTCGCGCGCGCGCTCCGCGCACTCGCCCCTCCCTACCACCCGCTCGCGTACCTCCACAACCTCCGTGATCGTGTTGTGTGGTGTGGTGGAGTGGATCAGTTGACGTTCAGTTGCGCGCTCAGGCACGCGTGACTCCGTGTCACGTGCCAGTGCCACCTCCTCCTCCTAATATCCCCCGCTTTGCACCCCCACCCCACCGAAACCACCACTACCACCACACCTGATCCACATCACGAATCGCTCGCCTACTATCCCCCTTTCTCCTCTCACGCCAGTGTGGCACTGCCACCAATTGCTCCCCTCCCTTCTCGCCCGTGTATTCTGATTCCGCGCATCCAGCCATCGATTCCTCGTCCCGCGAAATTCCTGGTCTCGTCATAGGACACTGACACGACAGCAACGCGTTAATACACGTACTACGCCAGATTTGATTTTCCTCCAGGACTAATTCCCATCAGCTCTCGTTTCGTCTCGTTTCGTCTCACCATATCTGCCGTCTCCTACCTTAGTATACCGTCCTCGCTCGGCCTGCTTCGCTCTGGTAACCCGCCTCGAAACGAAAGCCGTTGTCCGACCACCTTATTATTCGGCAGTCTACCCGTATCTCCACTCCTGCTCGCATCGCTATATTCCGGCCTCCGCGCACAAGCCGCCCCGCCGTTAGAACCACCCGCCCCGCATATTCATCCTCAACTGCACCATGTGCAAGCGACCGGATTTCCCGGCGGACATCACGGGCGACGACTCCATCGGCCTCGAATTTCCCGCGCAACCACAGTCCGGCTGGACCCCGGGCGCGCATGGCGCTGCCGCCGCCGCGCACCTCACCTCATCGCAACTCGCTATGCCGCCCTTCACCCTGCATTATCCCACTGCCTCCCCAGCCGCCGCCTCTCACGCTGCAGCGTCGCAGCATCTAGACTGGCTGGCGTGCGGCCCGGCGTTCCTGTCGCCTGTCAGCCTCCTCCCCGCGTTCCCCTCGCCTGGGTAAGCACGCCAATTAACAGGGAATGGCGGTAGTACCGCGCGCGCCAATGCACGGGTGCACGCGCCACTGATAATACTAGTAGACGCTGCGCGCTTCGGCCACATGCTTTTCTCCTCTTTCCCCCTCGCATCTCCCGGCCTCACTTCTCCTCACTTCCTCGCCAATCCACCCTGTCCCCTTCCCCCTGTCCCCCTCCCCCTTCCCCCTTCTCGTCTCTCCCCACACCACCATCCCGCCAGCCCGCTGCTCGCCCCACCGCCTCTCCTCGACGCTTCCAACCCTGCTAGCGACATGACTGCGCGTCTCTCCGCTTCTCACGGCCTCACCAGCCCGCGCGGCGCCTGGACATCCGCCGCTAACCCCGCCGCCATGCGCGGGTCGCCGCCTTCCCCTGCCGCCGCCACGGCAACCAGCGCGCTGGCCGCCGCGCAGACGGCAGCTGCGGCGGCGACGGCGACGGCCGGCGCAGCAGCGGGGGGAGGAGCAGGAGCGGGAGTAGGAGCAGGAATGGGGGCAGGAATGGGAACAGGAGCGGCACCGTGGATGTCGTTTATGGGTCCGTCCCTAGCAATGGGCTCCATGCCGCAAGGGTTTCTAGTGCGATCGGGTGCGGCGCAAGCGGTAGGGCACGACGCGGGAAGGATCCCCGTCATGAGCGAGAAGAAGCATAAACGGTGAGACCGCGCCTCTGCACCCGCACCCGCACCTGCACCCGCACCTGCACCCGCACCTGCACCCGCACCTGCACCCGCACCTGCACTGCACCTGCACCTGCACCCGCACCCGCACGCAGGAGGTTGGGGTTGGGCGTAACACTGCATGGACCTACTTCTCCCATTTCCACTACCGTCACCTCTCACTCGGCCTCCCCAACCTCTCGCTCCTCCCCCTCTCTTTCCCATCCCCCACGCAGCATCGTGTCCAACCGGGCATCAGCCAAGCGGTAGCGTCAATTTTGAGACGCCTTAAAAAATCCTCCCTCCGCCTCCATCCCCCCCCCCCCCCCCCCCCACTCTCCCGCTCTACCCCAGCATTGTGTCCAACCGGGCGTCAGCCAAGCGGTCGCGGCAGCGGCGGCAGCAGCGGCTGGAGGAGCTTGAAGTGATGGCGGCGCACCTGCAGGTGGACGGGGCGGACGCACGCAAGGGCCTGGCGGACGCCACTGCCAGGCTGGCAGTGCTGCAGCACGAGAACAAAAACCTGCTGGAGCAGGTGGCGGAGCTCCAGAGGCTGATGCAGCTGGCCAACCAGCGGTGAAGAGCGGTGGAGAGGGGTGGAGGGAAGTTTAGAGGGGTGGAGAGGGATAAAGGGGATATGGTACAGATGTTGAAGGGAGGGGAAAACGGGCAACAGCAATTGAGTTGGCCTGAGGGGTGTGTTGCTTGCTTCTCCATTGTTTGAATACAGGAGGTACATCTTCCTAGTATAGTATCTTGATTTGCTGTATTGCTGATTGCTACTGTACCGAATCTTGACATGTGTCATTAGAAGGACATTGCTTACATTTAGAAACTGGTGTGGTATAGTGTGCTTTACTATGTTGAAAGACACCCTTGAGAATGATCTTTGCTTTTTATTTACCGGTATGGGTCTGCAAGAATCTCAGAAAGAACGAACAAACATTTGAATTAAATAAAAAATGGATGATCGACACGACAGCTGCACATACCTACCCACCAGCAGTTGGTGCAGCACAACTGCAAGCCATGCAGAAGGGCCAACAACAATCACCGCATACACATCCACCTTCACTCCTCACCTCACGGATCACGTCACGGCCCACGCCCTAACAGGACAGGACACCCTTAAGGTCAAAATCAAGAGGTTACGATATGAGTCCTGTAATTGAGACCATGAGCGAGCAAGCACCCTCACAGGTTACGAGTCCATGTATTCGCACTCGTGCAACCTCTCCAGAATCTCCTCATAATCAGGCCTCTGGTCAGGGTCTTCCTTCCAGCAATCTGGCCGTGCACAGGGTTTGAGAAGAGGCGCCAAAGGCTTCTAAGTGTGATGGATGGGGGGGCAAGAGAACAGTGTGTGGTGTGCATGTTTGGCAGACGCCTGAAAGACAGAGCAAACACGTGCTGCCGCGTGGCAGGGTGCAGTAAGGAGAGAAGGGCGACAGAAAGGGTGAGGATAAAAGTGAGAGGGTGTGTGTGTGTGTGTGTGAGTGTGAGTGTGTGTGAGTGTGTGTGTGTGTGTGTGTGTGTGTGTGTGTGTGTGTGTGTGTGTATAAGAGAGAGGTATAGAGGTGCATACCTGAGATGAGGCGGCCTAGGCTGGTACTGGGGACAGGGAGGCGCGAGTTGTGATGCGCAACAGCATATGCCACCTGTGGAATCGGGGCCGGAGGGGGCATGGGGAACAAAGGGGGCCACGCAATGGGGGGCAAGTGGGGGCAGAGGGAAGGGGGCAAGCCGGGAAGTGGGTAATGGGGCAACACAACGAGTGAAGGGAGGGGAGGAAACAGAGTGGTGGATTCAGGTGACTCAGCTTAGCGTGTGCTATGGGGCAAATTCACCCATCCCTTCCCATCCGTCCTCGACCCTCCTCCACCTTCACCAACCCTTCTCAGCCGTCCTCATCCCTCACACTACTCTTATCACCGCACTGCACGCACCTCCAGCGGCCCATTACAATCCTCCCAGGGGCGGCGCAGCGTGGCAAGCTCCCACATGATGACACCCAGGCTGAACACGTCGCACTTGAAGGAGCACCGCTCGTTGCGCAGCAGCTCCGGTGCCATCCACTCGGGCGCATTGAGACAGACTCAAGCTGGAAAATTCTGCAAGCTATCCAATCCCTTCCCATTCGATCCTCCCACTCTTCCGCCCCTCCCACCCTATGAACTAACCTCCAGCGGCCCGTTGCAGTCCTCCCAGGGGCGGCGCAGTGTAGCAAGCTCCCACATGATCACTCCCAAGCTGAACACATCGCACTTGAAGGAGCACCGCTCGTTGCGCAGCAGCTCCGGCGCCATCCACTCGGGCGTGCCGGCAGCGGTGCGGCCCACCACGTGGCCGTTGGTGGCGATGCGCGACAGCCCAAAGTCGCACACCTTCACACACCAGTGCCGGTCCACCAAACAGTTGGCTGATTTCAAGTCGCGGTGAATGATGCTCATGCGCTGCAGACACAGCATGCCCCTGGGGAAGAGAGGAGGGATGGGGGTAGGGAGGGTGAAAGGGGACAGGGAGAGTCAGCAGCATGCCAGTCAAGTGCGTCTGGCAGGTGACGGAGGGGTATGTTGGCGGACTTGAGGTTGAGGTGAATGATGCTCATGCGCTGCACTGCACTGCACACACAGCATGCCCCTGGGAGGGAGGGAGGGTGGTGTGGTATGGGGGGGGTGCGGGGGAACGGGAAAAGGGAAAAGGGAAAGAGAGAGTGAGCATGTCAGGCACGTGCGTTTTGGCAGGTGAAGGTGGGGTATGTGAAGGTGGGGTATGTGAAGGTGGGGTATGTGAAGGTGGGGTATGTGGGCGAACTTGACTTGCGACTTGCGGACTCAGTGGATGTATGATGCTCATGCGCTGCTGAGCTGAGCAGGCACAGCATGCATGCCCCTGGGATGGTGGTGGGGGGGAAGGAGTGGGTAGAGGGTGGGGAAACAGGTGGCAGGAGTTAGGAGCGCATGTGAGTTGTCTCTGGAAAAGCACAGACCCGGAATGTCAAACAAAGGGCGGAGTACAGTTGAGAGCTGCAGTGCAGACACAGCGTGCCCCTGGAGGCCAGTAGAGGGAGAGGGAAGATGTGGAGAGAGCCATCCCATAACACACACGCCATTCCGTTCCACTCCACTCCACTTCACTTCACCCCACTTCACTCCACTTCACTCCACTTCACTCCACTCCACCCCACTCCCCTCCATCCCACTCCCCTCCACCCCTCTGTACCTGCAGATATCCCTGAGCATCTTGTAGCGGCGCTTCCAGCTGAGGGACTCGCCGCCCTGGCCGGGCTCGCGCGAGTGGATGATGCGGTAGAGCGACCCCATGTGCATGTACTCTGTCACCATGGAGAGGTGCGGGGGCACCGTGCACGCCCCCATGAACAGAATCACTGCAAAACAAGTTGGGTGGGTGGGGAGCGTGGGGGAGGGGGAAGCAGGATGGGGGCAGGGGAGCCAGGGGAAAGGGGAACAGGGAGTGAGGTGGGTCGCGGGCAGGAAATTACTGAAGGAAGAGAGAGTGAGGGGAGTTGGAGGGGGGAAGCAGGTGTGCTCTGTCCCGGGCTGGGGTTGGGCCTCGCATAGCGACTGGAGTGGATGATGCGGTAGAGCGACCCCATGTGCATGTACTCTGTCACCATGGAGAGGTGCGGGGGCACCGTGCACGCCCCCATGAACAGAATCACTGCCGCATCATGGGGTTGGGGGGACGTGGGTGGTTGAAATTGGTTGGGGGGTGGAGTAGGGGGAGAGAGGAGGAGGGGGAATTGGGAACTGACGCGGGTTGCAAGGGGTGTTATTTTCTGAAGCAGGCACAGGCACTGGAAAAGAGAATGAGGGGAAACGAGAGTGAGGGAAAAAGAGAGTGAGGGAAAAAGAGAGTGAGGCACCACGCACGGACCATTGGGGTGTCTGAGGCGGCTGAGCAGTGCAATCTCGTTGTAAAAATCCTCCGTGTCCTCGGGCTTGGCGTGGTGCTCATTTTCTCTAGTCGACTCACAAAGTGGAGCGCAGGCAGGCACAGGCACGTACCGTTGGGGTGGCGCAGGCGGCTGAGCAGAGCAATCTCGTTGTAAAAGTCCTCTGTGTCCTCGGGCTAGCTTGAGTCGACTCACACAGTGGGCACTGCGCAGCAGACACTCACTTGCCCTTGGAGCACCTGAGGTGGGTGATCCTATATCGGAGCCTATACCTCAGAAGCAGGCAGGCACAGGCACGTACCGTTGGGGTGGCGCAGGCGGCTGAGCAGAGCAATTTCGTTGTAAAAGTCCTCCGTGTCCTCGGGCTTGGCGTCCTGCTCCCACAGCATCTTCACCGCCACCTCTGTGCCGCGCCACACCGCTCTGAACACCTCCCCGAACGACCCTGCAGGGGTGGACAGGAAGTGGCGGAATGGGGAAAGGGGGAGGAAAAGGGAGGGTCGGTGGGTTGGAACGAGCGATATTTCTAGTGAACGAATTAAAAAATAACCTCTAGGTAGTGTGAGACGTTACAAAATTTGGCTGTGCTGACGCAGCAAGCAGCACAGCAAGCAGCGCAGCAAGCAGCGCAGCAAGCAGAGCCGCAAGCAGTGCACCAAGCAGTGCAGCAAGCAGTGCAGCAAGCAGCGCAGCAAGCAGCCCTTACCAACGCCGACGCGAATCCCCAGCCTGAGCTCCGAGAACTCAATGGTCCACTCCTGCGCTCTATCCCCAGTCTATCGCTCAAACAAGGACCACAAACCAGCACCACAAACAAGCACCACAATGAATCACCAAAAGCAAGCAGGTCTTACCAACGCCCACGCGAATCCCCAGCCTGAGCTCCGAGAACTCAATGGTCCACTCCTGCTGCGGCAGCAACGACAGCTGCTGCACCGCACCCGCCGCTGCCCCCGGCCCCACCCACCCTGACCCTGCTCCTGCCCCAACCCTCACTCCCCCCACCACTGTCCCCCCCACGTGACTAGCTGATCCCAATAAGGGGGCTGCACCATGTTGCGAGACCAGGGGGTTGCCAGAGGGAGGAGGGTGGGGGGAGAGAGAGGAGGAGGAGGGGTGGTGAGAGGAGATGGCGAGGGAGGAAGGGGGTTGCGGTGAGAGGCCAGTGGTGGGTGTGTGGGGGTTGGTGGAGTGTGCTTTGGGCGGGGAGGACAAGGGGGTGGTTTCTGCAGAGTCTGTCTGCTGCCGAACCAGCAGCTGCTGTATCCGCGGCTGCTGTGGCGGCTGCGGCTGTTGTTGTTGTTGTTGTTGTTGTTGCTGCTGCTGCTGCTGCTGCTGCTGCTGCTGCTGCTCCTTCTCCTCCTTCTGCTCCAGCTGCTTCTGTTCCTGCTGCAGCGACAGTGCTGGGGGAGCCGGCACTTGTTGTTGAATAGCTTCCTTTGAACTCTCATCTCCTCTGCTAGCCACATCCCCTTCATCCCCATCATCTGCGCTCTTAGAAACGTCACCCTTGCCTCCTTCCCTGTCCTCGCCCCCACCGCTCTCACGCTTCCCTTCCCTTGTATCAACCTTTTCTCTCCCTCTCGCCTCCACCGCACCCGCTTCTCTTCCCTCACGCCCATCCGGCCCTCTGTCATGCCTTCTGCCCCCTGCATCCTCTGTCATTCCTCTCTCTGCTTCGCTCTCTGCACCTCCCTCTGCTCCACCTCCTCCTCTTCGTCCCTCTCCCTCACTAGCTCCCCCACCCCCACCTTCTCGCCCTTCACTACCTTGTATAGACTCTCTTTCTCCCCCGACTGTCCCCATACGCCCATGTCCATCACCCTTCTCCCCTTGCCCCCCATCCATGCCCCTCCTCGCACTGCTGCTTCCCTCGCCCTGCCTCTCCCCTGCCCCTGATCCCCCATCCTCACGCGTTGTCTCACCCTCCTCTTCCACCAATCTCTCAAGGCTATTCAACACTGCACCACTCCCCGTCTCCCTCACTCTCTCAAGCACCGCACTCCTCCCCAACCCCTCCACTCCCTCACCACCTGTTTGATCACTCGCTCCTGCTTCATCCCCCTCCCTTCTCTCCGCCTGCCCCACCCCATCTGCTCCTGCTGCTGTCATCTGCTCTCCCGCCCCTTCACCACGCCCTCCAAACCCTTCTAGCCCTGCAACCCCTTCTCCTCCTCCTCCTCCTACTCCTCCTGATAGTCCTGCCGCTGCCGCCGCTGCTTGTCCCGCCCCTGCCGCTGCTGCTGCTCCCCCCGCAGCAGTAGCAACAGTCCGTTGCTCCAAAGAATCCCTGAACCCACCAGAGGCACCCAGGCTGGGTGCATCTGGGGCGGCGGCAGCAGCAGCAGCGGCAGCAGCAGAGCTGGGCGTGAGGGCAAATGGGTCAGGCCCGAGAGCGGCAGTCGGGGCGGGAGTGGCCGGGGTGGTGGCTAATGAAGAGCCTCGAGGCAACGGCTGGTGACACATGGGGCACACCCGCTGGCGGAGGGAGGAAGAGGGGAGAGGGATGGGGGAGGGACGGGGGCGGGAGAAGGGAGGGAGGGGGGAGAGAGGAGGGAGGTGAGGAGAGAGGAAGAGGGTGAGAACGAGGCCCGAAGGCAGAAGCAGATGCAGAAGCAAGCACACACAGACAACTTCTGAGGCGCCTCAGGACCGCACGGGCACAGGCACAGGCACAGGCACAGGCACAGGCACAGACAAAGCCAGAAACGTTCACCCCAACCCACCATGGCAGAGGCAGCAGCGGCAGCAGCAGCAGCGGGCAGCACGAGCGGAAGGGGGGATGGTAGCACAGAGGGGTCTGATCCATCCCCTGGCGCTGCTGCATCGGGTGGTGCTGGGGGCTCCACCCTCAACGCCCTCCTGTCCCTCCGGATTAGCTCGTTGTACTCACGCACCTTCCTGGAAGGTGGAGGGTGGAAGGTGGAAGGTGGGTCGCAGAGGGGGCATGGAAAGGCACCAGGAGGAAAGAGGGTGATGGTTGAATATACTGGATGAGAAAAGTGTGGAGGCAGCGTGTGGGGATATGATATGATATGATATGATATGACAGTGTCTCTTGGGTTGACGCAAAAGTAAGATGCGCATGGAATGTGCGAGGAGGATACGAAGGGATGGGATGAGGGGAAGGGAGTTTGAGACGTCTTGAAGCAAGAAGGGTTAAGGCGGTAGGAGGGGAGGGGAGGGCGCATGCGTGGGGTGGGGAGTACGCTTAGGGGAAGCAGGAGGGCATGGGGGGTAAGGGAGGGGGCAGAATGGGGCTGGCAGTGAGAGAGCGGGAGTGAGGGAGTAAGGGAGTGAGGGAGGAAGGGAGAGAGGGAGGGAGGGATGGCGGGAGGGAGGGAGTTGTGAGAGGGCGTGTGAACAACGTGACTCACTTGGCCACTTGGTCACTGACTTCCAGCGTGGAAAGGAAGGGAGATGGGAAGGGAGGGAGATGTGCGGGCGTGTGAGGTTTTGAGAAACATCAAAAGTGATTTCAGCAACATGTGACTCACTTGGCCACCTCGTCACTGACTTCCAGTGTGGCGCGCCGACGACCGCTTTAGGAGGAAAGGGAGAAGGCACACACAGTAAGGGGAGAAGGGAAGAAAGGAGAAGAGGGAGGAGTGGGGGATGGAGGGGACAGGAAGAGTAGGTTAGTGTGTGACATGAAATGCGCCTGAAACAGGACCAGAGAAAGGGGCAATGCGGGCGGTGAGAGCAGCGATTGGCATTGGAATGAATGAGGCATGAAGGTCGGTTGAGATAAGGGGACAGACACTGGGGCGCAATGAGGGGCGCACTGAACAGCATGGCTGGTGCTGATTCGCTAGCAGCACAAAGAAAGCAGCAAGGGTGGGTGGGAGGATGGATGGGAATGAGCAACGACAGACAGCGGCAAGGATAGGAACAGCGTTGGGTGCGGGAGGCGGCGAGGACAGGCTTTTGAGGCGCCTCAAAAGAAGCAGCGAGAACAGGCTTGAATCAACACAGCAAGGAACAGGGATGGAGAGAAGGGTTGAGGCAGAAAAGTTTTGCGGAGAGCGGTTGACGTGGGAAGCAATGAAGGGATGGGGTTCGGTTGTTAAATTGCTGGTGTATTGGGTTATTGGGCTATTGGGTCATTGTGTTACCGGGGGGCTGATGGCTCGCCCATGTTGCGCCGCGGAGGAGGGGTGGGCTTGAACGTGGTGCTCCTGGTGGTGGGCACGTGGGTGGGGAGGGAGGTGAGGTGAGGTGTGGTGTGGTGAGGTGAGATGAGGTGAGGTGAGGTGTGGTGTGGTGAGGTGAGGTGAGGTGAGGTGAGGTGAGGTGAGGTGAGGTGAGGTGAGGTGCAGTGAGGTGAGGTGAGGTGAGGTGAGGTGGAAGAGGAGTGAGAATATGACAAAGTCAAACAGGCTCGTGGCTTAGGGTGGGGTAGGGTGGAGGAGAGGAGGGAAGCGATGGTGCATGCATGGAGTGGAGAGGACGGAACGGCAACATCGAGGGGACGAGCACGAAAACTTGGAGGAGCAGAAGCAGAGCATGGGAGTCACAGCGAGAAAAGAAAAGGGAGGAGGAGGATCGTAACTGGTGCTCGCTTCCGCTCCCAGAGCCGCTACCCGTGCCACTGAGAGAAGGTGCAGCAGCAGCAGGTGCCGCCCCTCCCTGCTCACCCCCTCCCCCCTCCCCTGCACTGTCCCCCTGCCCCTGGCCCTGTCCCAGCCCTTGCCCCTGCCCTAGCCCCGGCCCTTGTGCTAGCGATATTGAGCGTCTGTGTGGCGGTGGCATGGGCTCCAGGCCAGACGAGCCTGGCGCAGACGACAGGTGCCCCTCTGAGTTGATGGAGCTGGGAGGGGGGGGGGGGGGGACGAGAGGGAGAGAGGGTGAGGGGGGAGAGAGGGTGCGAGAGGGGAGAAGGGGGTGAGAGAAGGGCAGTGGCATGGGGTCCAGGCCGGACGAGCCTGGGCCCGACGACAGGTGCCCCTCTGAGTTGATGGAGCTGGGGGGGAAGGACGAGGCGGGGAACGGGGTGCGGAGGAGATAGGGAGAGTGGGGTTGAGGTGAACAAAAAGATCAGACATGGTGGCATGGTGGCACGGGGTTTCAGGTCAGACAAGCCTGGGGCAGAAGGCAGGTGGCCTTCTGAGTTAGTAGTGCTACGTAGTAAAAGGGGAGGGGGGAGAGGGTGAGGAAGGGGTGAGGGGAGGGATAGGGAATGAGGTGGAAAGAGGGTGTGAGGGGGAGGGAGAGAGTCAGCCGTCTTGTGCAAAGCTTTAGTGCACAAAGGGAGAGGCAAGAGCAAACGAGCAGGAGAACAAGTAGCAAGGGTGCGTGCGAAAGAGGACTGCAAGAATTAGGAATGTGGGAGGTGGGGGGAGGCAAAGGGTGCGAGCGAACCTGAGGGGGCCCTTGGGGGTATCAACATCCTCTGACAAGCAGCAGTTCCCGAGGAGCCTTCAAATTTGAGAGAAGGGGGGAGGTAAGGAGTGCTAACCTGAGGGAGCCCTGGGGGGTATCAGCATCGTCTGACAATTTCTGAGGCGCCTCGAAATATGAGAGAAGGGGGGAGGTAAGGAGTGCTCACCTGAGGGAGCCCTGGGGAGTATCAGCATCCTCTGACCCTGCTCCACTCCGCCTGTACGTGGTCAAGTCAACCAAGACATGGGGGTGGAGGAGTGCGATGTGGGTTACGGGAAATGATTGTAAGGGAAAGGGTGTTGTGGGAGGGGGTGGGCGGCAAGGGACAGGCGAAAATGGCAGGAGTAAGCAAGTGTAGCACACGGGCCACATGGGCACTCGGGCACTCGGGCACTCGGGCACTCGGGCACATGGAGTTGCACCTGAAGGCGATGGCAGAGTCGGCTGCCCTGCGGTTCATGAGGCCCAGTGACGCCTTGGCCCTCGCTGATATGAACGGGTGCTCCGGACTGCTGCTGCGGTGGGCAGCGGTGGGGCAGGGTTGGGGTTGGGGTTGGAAGGAGAGGGTAGGGTATGGCTCGCATGAGAGAGGAGGAAAGGAGGGGTATGAAGGAACGAGGGGATGGAGTAGAAAGAACGACTGGGAGAACAATCAAGCCATGCAGGAGAACAGAAAGACACAAGGCCAGAAGGGCAGGAGCGAGCAGGGCAGGAGGGAGCAGGGCAGGAGCGAGCCGCACAGGAGGGAGCATGGAAGAAGGCCAAGACAGGACGGAGCAGAACAATACCAAAAGGCGCCAGAGACGGCGGCAACAGTTTCGAATCAACTCTAAACAGGAGTGAGCAGCACAGGAACGAGAAGGACAGGAGGCCAAGACAGGACGGAGCAGAGCAGAGCAGAGCAGAGCAGAGCAGAGCAGTACCTAGAGGCGCCAGAGACGGCAGCAACAGCCGCTGCAGCAGCTGCTGCCATGGGACTCGTGATGCCTCCTGCTGGCGATGACACATACCCATCCTCCAACCCACCCATGCCCATACTCATGCCCATGCCCATGCCCATGCCCATGCCCATGCTCATGTGCCCTCCTGATGACATGCCTCCTGCATGCACGCCCATGCCCCCAACGCCCTCAGGCCCAGAGTCCGTCCTGTTGAGGGGGAGGGGAGGGGAGGGGAGTGGAGGGGAGGGGAGGGGAGGGGAGGCGAGGGGAGGGGAGGCGAGGGGAAGGGAGGCGAGGGGAGGGGAGAGGAGGGGAAAAATGCTTTTGAGACGCCTCAAAGCAAATGCCCATGCTCCCTACGCCCTCAGGCCCAGAGTCCGTGCTGTTGAGGGGGAGGGGAGGGGGGAAGCGGAGATGGAGGGGGGATAGGAGGTGGAATAGGAGGTGGAAGGAGGAACAGGCGCACAATGAAACGTACATTCTACCAACCGAATTCAGACTTGATGATACCGCAAGCGCGTGCCTGTTTGTGCAGCATCATACAGTGCAGGGGCACCCAGGCATGCCCACCCATGCTCCCTCCCCACTTCCACCCCCACCCAGTCAACCATCCTCCCTCCCACCCTCCCATCCTCCCTCCCACCCTCCCATCCTCCCTCCCACCCACCCTCCCATCCTCCCTCCCACCCTCCCATCCTCCCTCCCACCCTCCCATCCTCCCTCCCACACACCAATCCTCCCTCACTCCCACTCACCCGCCATCAATGGAGTTGGAGGAGGGAGTTCGAGCCATGCGGTACGCCCCGCCATGCCCAAGGCCAAGGCCATACCCCGCCATGCGCCCACCACCGCCCCCTCCTCCTCCGCCCATCATCATCATGGCGCCCTCGTTCTCACTGACGGCCCCACTCGCCCCGTGCCCCATGCCCATGCCCACTATGCTCCCGCCGCTGCCGCCCTCCCCTGGGGATGCCGTGCCTTGCAGGGCGCCTGACCGCGTGTGCAGCATGTGCATCCTGCTGCTGCCGTGGGGAAGGGTGGGGAAGGTTGGGGAAGGTTGGGAAAGGGGAAGGGTGGGGAAGGATTAGGGACGCAAAGATTGCACATGTGACTGACACTTTTGAGTATCGCAAAGGTAATTCAACCACAGCCTTGCAGCGCGCCTGACCGCGTGTGCAGCATGTGCATCCTGCTGCTGCTGTGGGGAAGGGTGGGGGAGTGCGGAAAGAGTGGTGGGTGCGGGATTGCACGCGTGGAGTGGAAGGATTTGAGGGTCGAAAGAAATAAGGGTTCTTGTTGAGTTGAGAGCGGACTTTTGAGTCGACTCAAGAGTCAGCTCAAGGATTTGAGGGTCGAAAGAAATAAGGGTGCTTGTTGAGTTGAGAGAGCGTGAAATGAAGTTGCTTGGACGGCGACCTGTGTAAGGTATGTATATGCAATGCATGCATGCACCATGTGTGCGACGCACCATGCGTGTACAAGGCACAAGCAGCACCAGAGAGCGTTGGTGGTTCCTCCCTCGAACATCAACGCGCGTTGGCGGATCACATCAGATTGGACAAGCGTTGGTGTTTGCAAGTGCAAACTTATGCTGCACGTCCCCATTGCCAAATCAAGGCTCAAGCCCAGTCCATGCACATGCACATGCACATGCACAAGCTCTGTGCACCCCATGCACCTGTGCGTATCCGCACGTGTGCATCCCCACAAGTGCCTGCCCCTTATCCAGCCCGCCTGCAACCCCCCAACCCTCCTCACCTGCCCCCCAGGGCCATGCGGTCCTCCTGAATGGCTCGCCGCCGGCTGCGGTGCCTGCGGAACGTGTTTTCGAGTCGACTCAAAGCACTTGTGCATGTCCCATCCCACATCCAGTCGCCCCACCCCGCCATCCCCCCCACCTTCCTTACTCACCTGCCCCCCAGGGCCATGCGGTCCTCCTGTATGGCTCGTCGCCGGCTGCGGTGCCTGCGGAACGCATTGGCCTCGGGCTCACTCGTGGGACTGCACACCGCACGCACAGGCCGCACAGCGCACAAGACGGACGGTAAGTACGGGCCACAAACGACGTGGGAACAGAGGAGACAAGGGGTGGGGTGGGGGAGACGGGAGGGATGAAATGAACGAGGGGGGTGGACAGTGAGGAGTGAGAGTCACATTAGCCAGACGAATCACATGCAAGATGCACGACGCATATCAAAGCCAACTTCGAACCAAAGCCCACCCTACCTACATGGAACAAAAGCCCAAGCTCCATGACTGCCCGCCTTGTGCCAACCATTCAAGCACCACATGGCGCACCTTATATTGGAGCCAGTGAAAGCCCCCAAGGGGATAGGATGGGACAAGAATTATTCCGAGCCATTCCGAGCCATTCTGAGCCCAACAACTCCATAGCCAGCCAGCCAGCCAGTCGAGCCAACAAGGCTTTTATCAAAGCCCGGCCTACACAGAAGCTTACCTTGCTTCCGTCCAAGCCAAGCCCGCCTAGATTACATCAGAAAAAAAGCGAGCATTGAGCCGAGGCGAGGCGAGGCGAGACGAGCACACCTTATATTGGAACCAGCGAATGCCCCTGAGGAGGCGGCGGGGATGAGGAGAGGGTTGGGGTTGGCTGCCAGGTTGGGCCGTCTAGAGGAGCGGCCCGAGAGGTACGACATGTAGCGCTCCACACTGGGGGGGGGGGGGGGGGGGGGGGGGGAAGAGTAAGAGGGATTGTGGGAGGAGGAGGAAGAGGGGGGACCAGGGGGTGAGTAGGATGCAGAGACGAGGGGTGGCGGGAGGGAGGAGCGGCCCGAGAGGTACGACATGTAGCGCTCCACACTGGGGGGGGGAGAGAGGGGGGGTGCGGAAATGGGGACGAGTAAGGGGGTTTTGGGAGAGGACGGGGAGGACGGGGAGGGGACGAAGGATGTGAAGAGGATGCAGAGACGAGGGGAGGCGGAAGGAGCGGCCAGAGAGGTATATGCAACGTTTCACGATGAGGGGAGGCGAGGGGGAGGGAAAAGGGGGAGGGGAAAGGGGGGGGTGTTGGAGAAGAATTCAGAGAGAGGGGAGGCAGAACAAACACAGAGAGAGAGGCAAGAGATAGCGAGGGAGGGAGCGAGAGGGAGCAAGATGGAGCGAGAGGGAGCGAGGGTGAGGAAGAGAGATACAGGAGCATGCATAGAATAGACTTTGAAGGTGGGCCATGGCGACAGACATATCAACAGCATTATTTGGCTATAGTCTCTCCTTGCGCCTCAAAAGCAGTACTTGGCTTGGTTGGTCATATCCTCTGAAACAGCTATATCCTTACGATCTGGTTGCGGCTGCCACGCCCGTGCCTCCCAGTGTTGTATTCCCTCCGTCCAGCAGAGAAGGCGGCTGCTGCTGGTACTGCTGCTGCTGCTGCTGTGACGGCGGCACCTGCTGCTGCTGCTGCTGGTGTTGCTGCTGGAAGCGAGAGGTGTAAGCTGCGGCTTGAGAAAAGGCAGAGTCTACTGGATCTAGAGACGAGCCCGTGAGGGAGGAGAGAGACGGCCCCGTCTGTCGTGAGCTGTTGGGGAAATGGGTAGGACGGAGAGCCAAGGAAAGGAATGGCGGGTGTCTTTTGAGTCCAAGTGTAAGCTGTGGCCTGGGAATTTTTCAGAATTCTCAAAAAAAAATCCCTGCGGCCTGGGGAAACGCAGAGTCTACCAAATCTAGAGATGAACCGGTGAGTGAGGAGCTGCCAAACGGAGACAGCCTCGTTTGACAAGAGCTGCTGGGGAAATGGGTAGGACGGAGAGAAGGGATGGGACGGGGCTGGAGTGGGGAAGGGTGGATGAGAAGAGGGGGGAGGGTCAGAAGGGTGTGACGTGGTGAAGAGTGGTGACACTGCCTGCATGGCAGAGGGAATGGGAACGGAGGCAGGAGGGGAGGCAGAACGGGTGGGGCTACTAATAGGTACCATACCGGGCAGAAGGAGTGTGTGGTGAGATCGAAAGGGTGAGTGGTTTTTTACAGCAGCAGGGTTGGGCATTGGTGCATATGTATCGGCACCTGGGGAGCCTCTACTACAGAACGGCAGACTCAGAGAGGCAGGAGATGAGCAGGGGGTAACCAAAGGCTGGAGGCACAGAGGCTGGAGGCACAGAGGCTGGAGGGCGGAGGTGGCGAGAGGAGATGGCAGAGCGCGCATGGATGACCCACTGCGGCACACGTCTCCCCTCAGAAATACTGGTCGCTTCTCAGAGTTCTTAAAAGGCGACCTACAACGACCTGGCGCATAGTGCATGCATGAGTGCATGCATGAGTGCATGCATGAGAGCATGCATGAGCATGAGCATGAGCATGAGCATGACCCACCTGCGGTACACGTCTCCCCTCTCCCTCAGCATTGTGGGCCGGCGCGTGTACTCGCTGCCATGCCATGGGACACGGGTTGGTGCGGCAGAGAGGAGAGGGAAGAGAGGGGGGAGAGGAAGGAGAAAGAGAGAAAGAGGAGAGGGGGGCACAGAGGCGAGGGAGGAGGGTGCGTGCAAGGAGGGGTGTGAGCACAATGAGAAAGGATGAGTAGGAAGAGACGTGACGAGAAAGGGCAAGAGGGCAAGTGCAGCATTGCAAGGAAGCATGAACAAGGGTGTGGGGGAAAGCGAGGAGGGGCAGGGATAGGGGGAGATGGAAGAGGGGAGATGGGAGAGGGGAGATGGGAGAGGGAAGGCGTGTGGCGAGCGGAGAGGCGCGAGGGGAGAGGGGAGGCGGGAGAGGCGAAAGGGGAGAGGGGAGGCGGGAGAGGCGAAAGGGGAGAGGGGAGAGGGAGTGAGTGAGAGAGAGCACACCTATCGCTGAGCATAGATCTTCTGCCGTAGTCACCAGCACTGCACAGGAGGGGTACGTGCGAGGATTGTGAGGGGAATCGGAACCGGGGGAGCAGAGGGGCGGACAGAGGGTGTGGAGAGAGCAAGGGACGGCCAAAAGGAATGCGTTCGGATGAACAGGAGGGCGGAATGGAATTTACGGGGAGAACAATGGGATGGGGGGAAGGATGGGATGGGGGGGAGGATGGGATGGGGGGAGGATGGGATGGGGGGAGGATGGGACGGGGGGAGGATGGGACGGGGGAGGATGGGATGGGGGGAGGATGGGATGGGGGGAGGATGGGATGGGGGGAGGATGGGATGGGGGGAGGATGGGATGGGGGGAGGATGGGATAGGGGGAAAGGATGGGTCGTACCTGCGGTAGCCGTCCATGCCAGGGTCGCCTGTGGGGTACGGCCTCCGACCCTGAGTATCGCTGTGGTGCGCGTGGGGAGGGGGGATGGGGTGTCGCCCACACACGCCATGCCATGCCATGCCATGCCATGCCATGCCATGCCATACCATACCATGCCATAGACATGCCGTAGCCATGCCATACCATAGACATGCCGTAGCCATGCCATACCATAGACATGCCGTAGCCATACCATACCATAGACATGCCGTAGCCATACCATGGCCATACCATGCCAAACCCATTACATTCCATTTCAAGTCATGCCACGCCATGTCACATCCCATCACCAGGCCGCACGCAGACGGCAAGGAGGGGAGGAGGGCATGAGCAGGATAGGAAATGGAGAGAGGGAGAGGAGGGGGAGAAAACCGGGGGGAAAAGGTGGTGTGGCGGGTGGGTATACACACTGGGATAGAAGAGAGAAACATAAGCAGGGAGAACAACACATATTTTCTCATTCAGCGTGTTTCTTCCGCCTATCTAACCGCTTCACAACCCCACCTGGAGCCCACCGTAATCAACAGCTCGGCTGCAGGTACACAACGGTACAGGTAGAGGCAAACAACTGACAGCCAGACCAGCACACGCCAGACGTCACCAGGCTGTAAATTACAGACACAGTCCACACGCCATCGGTTACTAGACTAGGTTAATCCAGAACCACCGAGCCGCTTACCTGAGTTCGCCCGGCGTCGGGTCGCCTTCCGTGGCGCGTCTGTGCGACACGGATAGCGACGAGCGGCCGCGCGGCCGAAGGAACGACGCGTCCATTATCCCGCTGCCGCTGCCGCCGCTGCCGCTGCTGCCGCCGCTGCCCGGGCCACCCATAGCGGCAACGGCGGCGGCGGCGGCGGCGGCGGCGCTAACCCGCTCCATGCTGTTAGGCCGCATGGCGATCCTCTGACCCTCTTCGTCATGCCTCTCCATCTATCTCCTGACCGTTGAATGCTTTCCCGTCTCGCCTTGGTCGGCCGAACACTCACACTCCTCCGCTCGCCTCCGTCGGCCTTCCTAACCTAATTTCGTTCTTCCCGCTTCCAAATGTTTTCCTTCTACGTACGCACCGAACGAGGTCGTTAGTTCCCTGCTAGTTCCTCCCTACTTCCGCTCTAGTCTCTCCCGAGCTCCTGTCAAGCTGTTCCCTAGCTGGTAGATAGTTCCTCCTTAGTTCCTACCCTATCGTCATACAGTCCCTAAGTCTAGTTTTCTTCCAGTCTTCCTCCTCCTTTCCGCTTTCTCTCGTTCTCCTCCGGTCCGCACACTGACGCAAAAACTCCAGTCTCGTCCTATCACCACCCCTCGTCTTCACCTGCAGGCCCTCTCGGGCACGTTATTTCGTTTCCCATGCAGGCATCTCCCATCGTTTCATCACATGCTTCTTGGCACGCTTTTCCGTCGACGAACCCGCGCCGTAGGTTCGGTACGGCAGATAATCGCTTGAGTGCACGGGTAGCAATCGGAATTGGTAGAGTGGAGAAAATAGCCAGCAATCCACACCCGACGCAAAAGAAAACACCGAGCGAGCGGCCGAAGAGCCTTGACGAACAAAAATGGTGACCAAAAAATACCAACTTATTCCCGATGCTCCCGCGAAAACAAAAAAGCGTTTTCCGGTTTCCACGCAGGGAACAAAATCGTCGTCGATATTCAAGGTAAGAGGTGTGGACGTAGAAACGGGCAAGCCAATGGGAAAAAAATGGGGGAAACGATGTTGGCTGCTACGACGAAATAATCCTACTCCACATGAACCCTACAACATACGCGATGGCATGTGTAGGTAACCAGGGAACTGATAAGGACAGCCCTAATCTCCACATTCCGTGCTTGCGGAGCGAACAAAATTGGACTGGCGCGAGAGAGCTGAGGGAGAGGGGAGAAGGTGGCGGGGGGGAGTGGGGAAGGGGGGAGGGGGGGAGCGGAGGCGAGTTGGCCCTTGAACAGCTCGAGAACAGGCCTGTCGATTCACGGACATTTGTCCGTTTTCCCTGAGAATTCAGAGATAGTTTCAGCTCAGCTCTGAGATTTTCAGGGTTGGTTTTTCCCCCAGCCCGGATTCCTAACGGACAGGTTTTGGGGCTCCCCGGATTCCCGTAAGAGCCAACCCCCCTTCCCCTCCCCCCCTTTATTCCAGACCTTAGACCGCAAACTTGTCCCTCTCCCACCCCCAACAACACCAGCCCCCCACGTTCCCCTAGCGTACTCTGCTCTTTAGTGTATGTCTAGCTTGAATAACTTAGCTATATTACGCATGTATTCTCAGAGCGGGAAATATGAATGCCCTGAAATTACGTCCGCTTCCCGGATAGCTCAGGGCTGTTTTCGAAAACAGATCGGGCGCGCGCAGAACAGCGCTCTCCCCACTGGTAGTCCTTGTTGAGAAGGGGAATTTTTGGGGCGAAGGCGGAAGGGGGAGTGGTTTGGTTTGGATGGGTCAGGCAGTAAAAGCTGTGTGAGAAGGAGGCTAGGGGGATAGGTGCGGGGAGTGGATAGGTTGGGGGGGGTACGCTTGGGGGGGATGGGGAAGTTACAGTAACAGTACCAGGCGGACTGTGGCTCTTTCCGACACGACAGCAGTGCTGAGGAGGTGATGACGGCGATTGCATCGGCGGACGGTCGTTGACCAGGGAGCGGGCGCGGACAGCGGGGCTGCGGTGGTGCTGACGACGAGTCAAAAAGCGGTTCAGCTGGACAATGGGCAGCTGCGGGTACAGCTTGGGAAAACGGTTTGGCGGGAGAAGGGGAACTGTGCAATACCGCACTGTAGTGCCACTGCGCCTGCTGCTGATTGTGGCGGTGTTGTGTGCCATAGGAATCTCAATATACGTACACTTGCGAGCTTTGGCAGAGAATGGTGAATACGAAATCCAGGTGACAGTGATATTCAGCTGTCTTAGAATTTCAGCTTCTCTTCTTTCTGGGGATTAGTAGTGATAGTGATGCAACCTGGCATATCATTGCCTCACGGTACTGAATTTCCATTCTGCCCACTACCAACCAACATGGGAGGGATCACTTGATTTCCCTAGAAATAACTTGCATAGTGTATGTGTCACTTTATGGTAAGTAAGCATCTCCCTGTCTGAACATGCAATGGCACATTCAAGTTTGTTGAAAGTTCAGTGTGGCTAGACTCCATTGTGTGAGTCTGCTATTAGACGGGTGAAGAGCTCCGGTGTGAGGGGTTTAGAAGGCACAATGCAATGCCAACAAACTCAGCAAGTTACTACCAGTAACTTACGGGAACTGCCCACAAGAAGAGGGTTCCACGGATGCCAGACACGACCAGACCTGGTCAAACTCCGCGGTGGGACCCCTTTATGACCATAGAGCAGAGTTACGAGTTCAAAAACGGTTTCACAGCACAAACCCATCCCGCCTAGAGCACAAAAGTGTTATGCCTACCTACGATTGCCTAGCCATACGACGTGACTAAACCCAATGCCTAGTTGTGCAGCTAGCCAACGATCAAGGCACAATCTCAGGGTTTCCTGCAGGCACTGTTGGTATTTTACCCGCAGCCGGTGCAGCAGTTTTTCCAGCAGCAACAGGGGTGAGCGTTGCAGGAACTTCCTTGACAGGGGCCACTGCCTTTGCTGCAGGGACAGGAACCTTAGCAGCTGGAACCTTGGTAGCTGGAACCTTAGTTGCTGGAACTGCAGGAACCTTCCCAAGTGGTGCCTCTACAACTGCAGGGATCTTCCCAAGAGGCGCTTCCACAACAGGGGGCAATTTGACAGGCTTCTTGGGAATGGCAGGAGGAGCATGTACCACAGGAAGCTTGCCAGCAGGAGGCAAAACCTTGCGTGAGGGAGCAGTTTTGGGAGGGAGGGCAGGGGGCAGCTTCCACTTCCCCTGGCCCTTGAAGAACAGCGGAGGAGCAGGAGGGGTTCTCTTGACCGGCCGGGGAGGAGGGGGGCTCGGGGGAGGAGGTGAGGGGGGCGGGGGGTTGACATAAGGAGGAGGGGGGCTGGGGCCATTGCGCTTGGGAGGAAGTCTGGGAGCCTTAGGGGGAGGGGTCCTCCAGGGGGGAGGGGAGACGGGCGGCTTGGGAGGCGAGGGGTAGGGCTTGGGAATGAGCTCCTCGAGGGACTCGGCGTACTTCTTGGCCCAGGGAATCTGCGCCCACATGCGCGTGAGCGAGTTGCCCGGGCTGTTGCCGCTGCGGAAGGCACCCAGGCTGGCCAGGAGGCCGGCAAAGACAGCGTTGAGGTGCAGCAGGGGCTCGCTCTGCTGGGGGATTGTGCGGTCGTCCAGGTATGAGTCGTCCCGGGCTGGACCACCCACGATCGCTCCCACGAGAACGTTAGGATTCGGATACTTGGATCTGAAGCAGGGAGGAAGTGGCCCGGAGGAAGAAGGGACGGGTGGCATGTCAGGGCAGCACAAATAACTTGGCACTGTGTTATTATTGTTACTAGGCGGTTCTTTTTGGTGGGCTTGTGGATGTGCGAACTAGTTCAAAAAGTTTTGTGTGATTGTTTTGAATGCTTGAACCTTCACGGAATGTGTCCACTTACACTTTGAAGCGCTGGCCAGTGGCGCAGTCAAAGGGCGTGGGGTCGACGTGCTTGGACGTGATGGAGGCGGCTCTGTGGTGCACGCGCGTGGGGTACTTCTCGCCAAAGCCCACCATGTAGCTCATCTTCTGGGGATTGTCGCCCAGGATGTAGTTCACCTGCCATCACAACCAAGCGCAAACAGCGAGTCAAGTATGGAGCGAGTCAGGTACAAAGCCTACTTTGCGCGCTAGGCAAAAGAAGCAGATTCAGTCGCGACGGCGCACAGCCGACACGATCGCGGTATTCATATCGCACCTGCGAGGCGGCGAAGTCGACGATATCGTCAATGGTGGCGTCGCAGTCGAGGTAGTGCGAGGAGACGTTGGCGTTGATGGCGATGCGCAGGTAGTCGCTCACCAGCACCGACAGGAACCCCGCGTTCACCGCGTACTGGATCGGATGGTCGTCGCTCACGTAGATCAGCCCGCCTGCACGCCCAGGTGGAGAGCGGGAGAGAGAGAGGGTAAGAAAGTGAGAGCAGGGCAAGAGAGTGCTGGTGCATTTTTCTGACGTCAAGGGCTGACAATCGGGCCGCAGAGCGCTTAGCAACGCGAACGAACTTGATGGTGAGAGAAGAGGGAGAGGGTCGCGAGGAGAGGCGGATGGGAAGACGGCGCAGAGGTAGATGGGGATGGGTGAGGGTTGAGCAAAAGGGAGAGTGGTGATAATTACACACGGGCCACTTACCACTGTCGGTGAAGTTGGCGTGGAGCCAGTGCGGCGTGTGCTGGCACACGTAGAGCTTCGCGGCGTTGAGATACGTCTGCAGGTACTGCGGGATCTGCCCCTCGTTGCCCGCCCCGTACCCCAGCATCAGCAGCCGCGTCATCAGCACCTGCATGCGTAGTCGAGAGACACAATATAGATAAGATGAGCGCCCATAACATGCTTTCTACCGCGCGAAATAAGAGAGACGACAACAACAGAGACTGCACCGCTTCCAGCCTGTCATCCCAGAACCCAACATGCACTCCAAGTCAGACCAAGCCTCGATACTCCGCTGCTTCCCTCGCCATACCTGTCTACTCTAACTCCCCGATCCAGAACCCACCTGCACGCCGGGCGCCTTGTTGTCCCAGTCGAACGTCTTCGTGCCGGGCCCCCACTGGTTCGTCTCGAAGATGTACGAGTTCGGCCCGATCACGTAGTCCAGATACTTGGTGTCTCCCGACGCGAAGTACAGCCACGTGGCGCCCCACATGAGCTCGTCGCCGTAGCCGGTGGAGTTATACTCCGTCTGCGCCGCCTCCACCCAGTCGCTATACTTCCCGCGGTATTGATCCGCGTACTCGAAGATCTCCTCCGCGCTCTGCAGAAGCTGGTCCGCGTACGCGGGGTTGCCCACGCGGAACGTCAGCGAAGCGGCGGCGAGCGCGGCGGCGTATTCGCCCGCGAGGTCGGAGCACGGGTGCGTGACGTCGCAGGGGAACATGGTGGGGCGCTGCGCGGGCTTCATGTCCTCCGGCCGGATCCAGCACACGTCGTCGATCTCGGGCGTGCCCACCTGCGCGAATATCAGTTCCTGGTATCTTGAAGCGAGGATGTACTGTACACCCCAGTCTATGAGCTCCGCCATTTCGTTGTGCATATTCACGAGTCGATACACGGACTCGTACTCCAGCAGCGACCAGCACAGCATGGTCACGGTGTAGGCCAGCGGGAAGTGGTACTTGATGTTGCTGCCGCCGATGTAGTATCCTCCCCGTAGGTCCCGGTTCTGATCCTGGCCGTCCCGCATCCCCGAGTTATTTCGCCAAGTGATGGGATAACCCGGGGGTAGTTTACCCGCTGAAATTAGCAACAAAGAGTGTGGATGTCAGAGACATCGAGGTTATAAAAGCGCACAACACTCAGATCTGCAACTAGATGCTTCTTGTTCTTTACAGCTTGCGGAGATAATATTACGCTGAGCTGTTTCTTACATGTTTGTAGATGCGTTGCTGGCGCGAGCAGAGGCGCGACTCACATTTTTGGGTTTCGAGGAAAAGCAGGGCCATTTGGATCTTGGATGTGATGGTGACGTTGATAGGCGGGGGCGGAAGCGGAGCGGGAGGTGGAGGGGGTTCCTCTCCTTGCATCGACGCGAGCTTCACACCGAGGAAGACGGACGCAGCGAGGATGGCGACACTGCCGGCCATGGCGAAGGCGAGGATGATGGCCGACGACTTCCCACTGCGAGGCAACAACGGGGAAAATGGTCGAGCACAAAGAGGAAGTTCAGGGAGAGCCATGAGCTGCGAGCGCGGAAGCGGAGCGCTGACAAAGGAGAGGAAGCTTCATCTCAGCCCGTAATAACAAAACCCAAGGGATCAGGATGTACAAAGATTGGCGAAAAAGAACCGCGAGGACAGGAGAGGGAAACATGGATGAACGAGTTACTACGAAATGCATCAGCGAGCGAAGGGAGCCGGTTAAGATGTTAGAAGAGAGGTTTAAAAGCGAAGTTAAGCATGACGTATGTTCCGCTCGACCTGTATACAACATTTTCTTTGATATATCCAGTCTTTCCATGACCGAGGCCATGAAGCTACAGTAATACGGATCTGGTGCTTCATGTGTTTCGTTTACTTGGAACTTGAAAGACTGTATTGACAACATTCTAAAACGACCGAACAGATAGGTAACATAGGGAAGAAGCGAGTCCGGAAAAGCGTCTTACCCTCTTGTGGGGTCGAGAGGGACATATTGCCGATTCATCCCCATGTTGAAGGCCGAGTGACAAAAGTGTTCAGGAGTTTAGAGACTTTGTGCATAGAAGAAGCAGCTGAGCTGAAACGCACTGGCGGGAACCTTGTGTGAAGCTAATGGCGAAAATGACTTCGCCTGAAGCACCCCATTGATACTATAAGCTCGCTGAAGTTTGAACGGTCATCATATATTGTTATTTCTCTTCGCACTAGAGAGGAAGAGATTCGACGCAGGGACCGAGTAGGCTGGTCGGTAAGCAGCTATTCTTTCCTGTCGGCTCCCATTAGAAGCTGATTAGCTGATATGATGAGCTAAGCAATCAGAAGCAGCGTCAGAATCCGAGGACGAAAAAGGAGCAGGTGACTGATTTCAACAGACGTCCACCCGATGATCTCTAGGCAAGGAAGTCACACACATCCTGTGCCCCCATTCAATCGGGCTGGGTGTCCTTACAAAATGGCGCGAAACCAAAATTGTGACCCGTGTGACCAGTGAGAGAGGTTCGGGCAGATCTCAGCGCCACGCAGACCGCGTCTGGTATGGCAAAAAAGCAGTCACGAGCCGGTGGAACGCTTCCCCGGAGTCGGAAGCCACCCTCACCCGCCGACTCCCCGCTACGCAATCAAAGAGCCCGAAGCCCCGCGTGACGGGTATCTTTTGCTGTGTGGTTTGGTAGGGGTCAAGTGAGCTTTGGAGACAACGACGATAAGTGATTGGCTTTGAAAGGGGCAGAAATCTTTGTCTCACCGTTCCCAAGCCTGATCTCAGCTAAGGTTAGTGGTTCGGGCTAGGTTTGAGCGGAAGTGCCAATGTGGTATCCTTACTTTCTGACAGTCTGACAGAATGCCAGCTTGACGTGCCACTGACAAATAGAAAAGCGAAACTCGACAGGAGCAGAAGTCAGCGCCCTTGACAGGACAAATGATGCTACACTCGTGAGAATCACGTCGATCTATAGTTTTCATGCATGAGAAAAGCATGGGCAACGCACCATAACAAGCACAACTCGACCTACGTGCATGCACAAGCTAACATTTCCGCAAAGTTATCCCAACTAAATTACCACAAAGTCTCTAACCCTTTTATTCCTTTGACTAAAGCCCTCTTCTTCCCAGCCACCGAAATCCCTTGAGAGGGTTTCCATTCTTTCCTCCCACCAACTCCTGCACCGACAGCCCTCCCCCACTACTAGACCTCAGAAGCCTCCTTGTTGGGGTAGCAGGCGCAAATCCACCACCAGCTGACGAGCCGCCGCCAGCAGGAGTATTCCTCCGCCGAGCCTTCCTCTGCCTCTCAACATCCGTCATTTCCCCAACCACCTCCCTAATCAACTGCATCGTTACAGCTTCCTCAACCTCCCTCACCACCCCCACAATCTCCTCAATCACATCCACCCATCGGTCCACACCCCTCCCCATATCCCGCCGCGCCGCATCATCCAGAATATCGTAAACCTCCTCCGAGGCCGCCACAGGCCAGTCGTGAATCTCCCCCCACACCTCCTGCAGCAGCGCCAGCCCCACCGGCCGCGGCCGCACCAGCAGCTCCCGTAACCCTTCAGCCCAGACTGGCAGCTCCACATAAGGCCCCAGCCGTCTGCCCAGTGCTTCATTCACCGCATCAAACAGTAGCCGGCGCTGCCGCCGCTCCTCCGCTCTCTTCGCATGCTCCGCTTCTGCCTGTGTGCTTCCAGGGGGGAACGCCGAGGAAGGGAGCGGTTGAGGGGATGCGGCAGCGACGATGCTGGATTCCAAGCGAGGGAAGATGTGGGGCGGGATGGGGCGGTCTTGGGAGTGGAGCGGGGGGAGGCGCGGACCGGCAAAGCCAGCTGCTATGAGGATGTGGCGCACATAGTCCAGGTCCTGCTCCATGCCCTCTGCATCCATGCCCCCCATGGCCCCCATGCCCCCCATTCCTCCCATGCCCCCCATCATGCCGTTTACATGCATGGGCACGCCTGACTGCATGCATGCGCCTGCACTCGCGTCTGTGCCGGGTGTTCTGTGCCCCGGTTGGTCTGTGCAGCTGGCTGCACTACCAGGGCTGGTGCTGCTTCGAGGTATCACAGCTGATGATGCCTCACGTTGACACTGCTGGTCTTGCTGGTGCTGCTGCTGGTGCCGCTGCTGCTGATGCAGCTGGTGATGGTGTTGGTGATGCTTGCTGTGAGATGGTGACAGCGGCTGATGCTGCCGATGCTGCTGATGGTGCGGGTGAAAAGGGTTGCTGTGGGCGGCATCGGAGGAGGCGGGATCATCGGCGAGTGCATGTGGCGGTGAAGACAGCACCCGCGGCATCACGTCTCCTGGCAGCACCACAGCATTGGATGGCCGCACGGAGGACACAGAGGCGGACACAGGCGGTATAGTCGGCACTGCACAGGGCGTGGCACACACAAACGGGAGAGTAGGAGAAAGTGAGACAGGGCCAGCAGCACATGGGGGCAAGCAACAGCCCGCATAGGCAGCAGGGAGGCCAACAGCTGAGCTGCAGCAACAACAACAAAAGCAGAAACAGCAGCAGCAGCAGCAGTGCAAGGAAACTCCAACCCGGCTGACTTACCCCGGTTTCCTTCTCGTCCCTCAGCCTCTGTCTCCGCAACCGGTCGAGCAGCCTGGCTGAAGTCCAGTGTCGACACCGGGCTGTGCTCCTGCCCGTCCTCGCGCACAAGCTGCCAAATGCCGCCACCCACCGCGCCATCGGCAGCTCCCGCTCCGCCATTCTTCCCCCCTCCCGTCCCCGCGTCCCCCAAACCACCTGCGGTTTCCGCCCCTCCTTGCCCTGACTGCACTGACTGCGCTGATTGCATCAGCTGTTGCGCAGCCTGGCTATGGCTGTGGCTGTTGCTGTTGCTACTCCAGCCACTACCACTCTCATGATTGCTCCCCTTGCCGTTGCCTCTCCCATTGACATTCTTGTTCTCTGCCAAGCTCCTGCTCCCTGCCGCCGCAGCTACCACTCCCCTTTCCTCTCGTTCCCTCTCCTTCTCTCTCCCTCCTCTTCCCTCGTCTCCCTTTTCCTCTCGCACTCGTTCCCTCACTCGCTCTTTACCCCTCTCCCTATCTTTTCCCTTCTCTTTCGCCCGTGATCCGTACTCGGTCCCCCCTGCCCTCTCTCTCGCTTTTTCACTCCCTCGCCCTTGCCGTTCTTTCCCCCCATCCCTGCTCCCCTCCCCCGCCTCCCGCGCATCCAGCTTCCGCCACTCCGCTTCCCGGCTCCCGGCCATGGCGGCTGCAGCGGCGGCGGCGGCGGCTTCCGCTTCCGCGGGGGTGGCGGGGGAGGCAGACTGAAGCCACTCCTCCACCTCCTGCAGCAGCCGCGACTGCTTCTGCTGCCGCGACGACGAACCGCGCTTAACATCGCCGCCGGGGAGCCTCGCAAGCGCACTCGCCGTCAGTGGACTAGAGCAGCCGCTCCCTCCGCCACTTCCGCCACCATCCCCGCCACCATCCCCGCCGCTATCCCCGGTGATGTGGCCACTGGAGGAGACGTGTCCGTGTCCCTTGGCGGCTCGACTCCTGCTCTCGCCTCCCCGGAGAGACGGGTTGCTCGTCGAGGCACCTGATGACGTGGCACAGATCCCTTTCTTGTCGTGGCTGCGCCTCACTCGCGCGGAGTTCCCGCCGCTGATCGTAGAGGCGGCGCTGCTGCTCTTCCGCGCGGTCCCCGCAGGAACCGCTGCTGTGCCCATTCCGCCTGCAGCCGCTTCCTCGGGAGGGAAGTTCGCGCTCTCTTGCGCGGCGCTGTTACCTCCCACGCTCTGCCCGGCCGCGGAAAAGCCCAACGCCGCGCCCGCCGCCTCCCCCGTTTCTGCTCCCGATTCCGCCCCAAGCCCGTTCCCTAGGGCTATCGGTCTTGCGCCATCCCCGCCCCCGTCCATGGTTTCCGCGGTCGTGGTTCCGCCAGCAGTAGTGCCTCCTGCCGCGCGCGGCCGACACTCTCCGCCTAATCCTTCCGCCGCTTGTGCTCCGCCGCCTGATCGCCCGCCCACGATTTCTGCCGCGCAGGCGGAGCCGTTATGCGCGTCCGGCGGGTCGCTCGTATTCAGCGACGCGTTCACGCGGAGGTGCTCGTTCGCGCTCTGCGCTCGCAGCGGGTCTCCCCGCTCCCTGCCGCCGTGCCTTGCGGTGGAGTTTCCGCCGGCGCCGCCAGTGCTGCCGGTCGTCACGGCCGCCAGGGCGGCGTGCGCAAGCGCCTTGGGGTCGTGCTGGCGCGCTTTCGCACGGGAAGCATCGGCGGAGGTGGAGAGGCGGGAAGCCGCGGGGATCGGGGAGACGCTGCGCTCTTTCCGTGAACGGCCCATTACTCCGCCTAGCACGGGAACTCCTCCCGCTCCCGCTCCCGCTCCCGCTCCCCCTCGCGATCCGGTTCCTGCTGCTGCAGCCAATGACTGCGCCGACGGGGGGCCGCTCCGCCCATCGAAGTCGTGGAAGAGCGCGCGGGGGGAGGACTCCGTGGAACTGTTATTGGCGGAGACGCTGGTGCTCCGCGGCGCCCCCGCGAGTCCCAGGAGACGGCGGAGGTACGCGGATGTGCGGCCGGAAGTAGAGGGACCCGCGCCGTCGGGGGTCTGGAGTGAAGAGAAGCGGGGATTAGGGAGGAGGGGGAAACGGTGAGTGGCTTATATTGCACCGCTGATTCGTTTCCAGCTCCTAAGAATCCATGGATCGTAAATGAACTGCACAACCGCCATGAGCTTTTCGATGCCATCCCGCCATTACCGCTCAAGGAGCTAAGGAGAAAATACCCGAGGCAACTCATGTCGACTCGGCCCGACTCGACCCCACTCGGCTTGAGCGGCCGCTCTTGACTTTGTTCGAGTTGGCTCGATACGGCTCGAGTCGGCTCGATACGGCTCGATTCGGCTCAATTCTGTCTACTCGGCTTGCCCCGTCTCGGCCCGACTCGGCTCTTCTCGTCTTAACTTCGACCCGAACTGGACTCGCCGCGACCTAGCTCGACTCGACTCGTTCCAGGGCGTGCGACATACCTCCGGCGCAGAGCCGCCAGCAGCGAGCGCGGAAACGTGCGCGTGGAACTGGTCATTGCGCGCCAATGCCTCCAACACCGTTTGACTCAGCGCCGGCGCTGCTGGGGGATTGGGGAAGGGAGGGGGAGGGGGAGGGGGACAGTCGGCAGTGGGGGCAGCGTGGGGAAAACGGGGGGAACGAAGCAGGGACACGCGGGTCGTAGGAGGTGAATGTAGGGGCGGATACTAATGATGTTAATGAATGGAACAACGCAATCGCGTACGGAATCCATCCCATGGAGTGGAGCGTCGTACAGTAAAGGAAATCGCAGTGGATTTTGAAGAGGGAGGGGAATCGGCGTCGCACAGGAACAATGAGAGCGTATGCTGAGTTCTGAGACGAAATAGATTTAAGTGGGAAGAAATATATGAGGTACTCTCCATAGAAGACTATGTAGCAGGATGGGAGGGAAAGATGGAAGGGCAGCCTAGCTATCTCAGGGCCGCTGGATGTGGGCAACGTACGAGTCATATGTGGCGTTAGCAGCGACGGGGGATCAGCGTGGGCTGCCATGGCGACAAGTCCAGCAGCGGGTGATCGAAGTCTAGGCAGATTGAGTCTCGGAAACCAGGATTCTTGGCTCGTAAGAACGTGTGCGTGGATTCTGAGTCACCGTTTTTCCCACATATAGTTTCACAAGGACTCGCTTTTAATTTGTTACACTGGATTCAAACGCCTACGTGACGAAGGAACTACCAGCATATGAATGCTCTTCCTCGCGTGGCTCGTCACTTGTCCTGTACCACCGCGATTCCGGTTGAAAGAAATCAATATGCTACTAGAGCTTACGCTCCGCATCCATCGAAGCGACGATCAGATTCATCTGTGCGTCTGTCTCTCAAGCTACAGAGACACATGCCTGACGAACGGAGCAAGTACAAAATGCTAACGTGAATTTGGCAACTGCGTAACTGAAGCAGACCCTTCGATCAAACAGGGCACGAAAGGGAATGTGCTGGGGGTTGAGTCTGGTAGCAGGAGGAAAGAAACGCGGGTGGGTGGGACATCGAAGGAAAGGAAAGGAGAGGAAAGATGGGAGGGGTTGCGGGGAAGGGGAAGGTGGGGGGGGGGAGACCCTAGAGTTTTTACTAATTGAAGAGCGGAGAAGGGTGGTAAGGAGCGATAGACGGTAGAAAGGAAGAAATTACGGTTCACGAACGAAGCTGGTGTGGGAAGCCTACGGGTGGAAGGAGCGATGAAAGCCTCACAAGCACGGACGAATCAGTGTATCGTCAAGGGCGAATAGAGCAGGCGAATCGAGCCGCAATGCAGAGGGGAACGAATCGCACATTTACGAGCCGCTGCCAGCGGTAAGGCCGTGCGACAGCAAGGTCGTTCACTTTTCATCGTCCGCCCAATCAGGGTCGCGAGTCTGAAGCTGTTTTAGTCGTGGGTGTGCACTCCTCCCGCCCGTTTGGCGACGTAGACCGCGCAAAAATCGCCAAATCAAGTTCCGGTCGTCGCGCGCCTCTCACGGATGCGCAGCCAGTGGCGCGAAGCAATTTTTGAGAAGAAAAGACCGCTTTGGCGGTATGGAGGGCTGTTTCGCTGGGTTTGGCTGGCACTGCACGAAACACTGATGATTGGATACACGTGCGGAGTCAGCTCGGCTAGAAGGCTGGCAAAAGGTCCAGCAAAATGAGTACACCACAGAAAATCCTAACTTGCTTAGAAAACTAGCTGAAAAGGTCTTGATTCATCCAACAATGATTCACGAACATTACAAAAGCAACCCACCCATTTAAGCCACCATCCATATCATACAGCATCATTGGCTAGATTTATATGCGGGCGCGATCACTCTTTCGACATATTTGCCGACAATGTCCACCTCTGAAAGCATTGAATTGAAGGGAAAGACACGAGACAAGGGTTTTACGTCAAGGCACAGAAGGTAAGACAAGAGGTGGGAGGCAGGCAAGATGTGAAGACAAGGATTCCAAGTAAACTGTACACATGGTACTGTTCCATGCTGGACGCATGAGTGAGTGATACACTTACCAAGGTTCACTCGATCCCCAATTTGCTTGCCTGGCACCACAATCTTCTGCTGCGTGTATGCAACTAGCATAAAGGTGAACCAGCTCTCCTGCTCCAACAAGAACACAGCCACAGATATGCACCGAGCATGATAGCCATTAATGAACAGCCATGCAAAGCAAAGGCACGGCAGCAGACAGTCGCTCGCGAATGACCAGAGAGCCGGCTGGTGCACGTGCAGCAGAGTGTCAGAACCCAATAACTCGTGAATCAGTAAGACTCATGACTCATGTCTCACGACCCACCTCATCATTGACCTCCACCACTGTAAGGCTGGTTCCGTCCACTGCAATGTAGCCCTGCACGCGTGGAGTAGAGGAGGGGGATTAAGGCACAGAGCGAGGGGTGAGAGTGCGACAGGAGTGAGGCTAGATGACGTGCCGAGCGCAATGGGCATATGGCCATGGGTGATGCCATGTCATAGACACGAGCATGTAATCTGCCTTGCTGATTCAGAACTTTGCTCAAAAAGGTATATGCCCAACATGGGATGTGCAAGGAGCATAAGCACAGACACTGCTGAAGGCGTACATGGCGCACACACCTTGGGGACAATGTATTTGAGCAGTGAGGGGTCGCACTGCACGGTCAGCCAGAGAGAATCGCCCTCTGGCCGCTTGCTCTTGATCACGCCCGTGCAATCCACATGACCCTGCCATGCCATGCCATGCCATGCCACGAGAGTAAGAGGAGGGAGGCTTAACACGGAAGACCCCAGATGAGGCCACCTCCATCTGCCCTGAAGAGTTAAAGTGCCCTCCTCCTCCTACGCCTCCTCCTCCTCCTCCTCCTCCTCCTCCTCCTCCTCCTCCTCCTCCTCCTCCTCCTTCTCCTTTCCCCCCATTTCAGCTGTACCCATCCACTCCCACTTCCCACCTTCCAACAACAGTCAACCAATAATTATCCCGTTGTTCGCCCTGAGGAAACTGCAAGCGAGATTCTTGGTAACTTGACTCATAATGAAAGGAGAGAGTGGATAAAAGAGAACCAAACAAGAAAACAACTTCAGAACCGCCTCAAATGAGACCGTTCTTGAGACACGTCAGAGCAGAAACTGGCAGACACCTCGTTGGATCGGAAACTGGCAGTGACATCACCTGCACAAAGTGTCCACCCAAGCGGCTGTCGGCCCGCAGGGAGCGCTCGAGGTTGACAGGCGAGCCCTCCTTAAGGTCCCCCAGGTTGGTGCGGCGGAGCGTCTCGGGCGCAAGGCCTGGGGCAGGGGAGAGTTGGGGTTTGGGGCAGCAGATGATGATCACGGTGAGGATTCAGGAGTGAGAGGGAGAGACCGGGGATGGGTTGCAATGTGAGTATGCAAGAGGACGGGTGCTGGTGTGGGTGGGGGGGGGTGAAAGAAGGGGGATGTGAAAGGAAGGAGGGACGAATGTGCGTGCACACGTTAGTGGGATGGTTGTGAGTTGCTTACCGACTACAAAGGAGGAGGAGTCGAAAGTGGTGACTGTCAGGCATGTGCCGTTGACTGCTATGCTGTCACCCAACTGCACACACAGAACATACACACACAAAAACACACACAAAGTTACACACGCGTATTCACTTCACACACATATGCGCCACACTCTCTCATCCCCCACGCCCCTTACACCATACATGATGGTAATACAGACGCAAGCACATCCAGCAATCGTGCCCATTGAATGCACAGGCACAATGCACCAGGATAGGAGAGGACTTGCATTAGAATGCTAGTATCTCTCTCCCGTCCTCCTCTCATCTCCCCGTCTTCCCTACCACAACACTTCTGCTTTTCCTCAACCCCATCCAGCCTTCCCTTCTTCGTGTTCCCCCATTTCCCAGATTCCCAACTCCTTCCACACACCCTCTCTCGACCTCCCTCTTTCCCCCTCTTCCCCCTCTTCCCCCTCTTCCCCCTCTTCCCCCTCATCCCCTCTTCCCCCTCTCCCCCTCTTCCCCCTCTCCCCCTCTTTCCCCTCTCCCTCCCTTACCACTCTCCCCCTCTTCCCCCTCTCCCTCCCTTCCCCCTCTTCCCCCTCTCCCTCCCTTCCCCCTCTTCCCCCTCTCCCTCCCTTCCCCCTCTTCCCCCTCGCCCTCCCTTCCCCCTCTTCCCCCTCTCCCTCCCTTCCCCCTCTTCCCCCTCTCCCTCCCTCCCCCCTCTTCCCCACCCCACCCAGCACGCACATGCACGTCAGTGAGCACGGTGGAGGCCTCAACGGTCATCTTGAGACGCCTCAAACATAGTCCCCCATCCCCCCTACCCCCATTCCCCGTTCCACACCCTTCCCCCCTCTCCCCACCCAGCGCGCACATGCACGTCAGTGAGCACGGTGGAGGCCTCAACGGTCATCTGCCACCCACCGTCCTCGCCCTGCAGCACCTGCCGCACCGCCCCCATCTCCTCCACGATGCCTGCACGCCACTCACGCACACGCACGGCACGCACACGCACGCGCACGCACGCGCACGCACACACGGGCACGCACACACGGGCACGCACACACGGGCACGCACACAGGCACGCACGCAAAGGGCACACGCGCACACACAGCCACGCTCATGGGGGTTGGTGAGTTTTCTTCCATCAGCAAGCAGCTTAGGTCGTGCGTCCTTCTTAACACGGAGATGATGGGAGAACGAGCGACCTCCGTACAGCTGAGTGAGAGGTTACTCAATCTGTAACTTCTGGCTTGGTTTAGGCTTGGCCCTGGAAGACCAAACCTCCCACAGCAGCGCTTGCGCTTGTGCACTGCGGACTGAACCCTGGACCCCCAAACCTGATCACTGCCGAATCTGAGATTTGCGCTTTCTGATCTTAAGCTCCTGCCTTGCCTGTGAAAAGTGCAACCACGTTGTTCGATGCCGGACCGCGCGTTGCGCGCGACGCTCCCGCGCGCTTCCACCGCCGCGCATCGCGCGCGAGGCGGCCTGCGGGAGGCTGACTGCTCAACCAGGACAGGCGGCTGACGCCGCTTGTCGGCGCCGAGATCGCGGCTGTCGCCCTGTTGGAATCGCGCAAGGGATGGAAAGGACGCGGAAGCGAGAGGAGGCGTTTTCAAGGAATCGAAAGGACAACTGCGATGAGGATCACTGGGGTTGCGAAATGGTGGGGGTGCGGTGCGGATCAGTGGAGTTAGGCACAAGAGGAGCATGACAGAACGCGATCGGCGCAGAACAATTAACACCCGCAACTGCTACTTCGGCGAGACAATCGCACAATAAGGGAAGGAGAGATGCGCATGTTCCGCACAACAACCTTACGCCAGCCTTCACGGTTGTCGGAGCATAGCTAGAGCAGGAGGGTGCACTGGGTGATCCAGCGAGGCTGCGAAGCGCAATGCAGCTTTTGGAAGCTGTGGCAGCGATCGCCATGGCTGGCTGACAGCGATAGGGAAGGAAAGGAAAATCGCGATTCGGAACGAGGATTCCAAGGTGTTGTTGCCTCAAGGAGCTAGCTTTGAGTCTTGTATACATCATACGCGGTATTGGGGATGCTGACACAGACTTGCATCATGGGTTACATGGTCGTACCCCCCCGGGGAATACGGTCCGGTATTTTGATTACTCTACATTTTAATTTGCACAAGCCAGCCTATAGTACATACTTGAGGCCACATTTCAAACAAGCACGATACACATCTAGTACAACCTGTCTGCAGCACACAGACATGAACGGCCGTGCTATATTACCGTATCAGTCGCTACTTGCGCAGCTCTAGGGTGAGGTGTGGGAAGCCGTGAATCGCCTTGTGGCGGTCAAAGAGAGCCTTGACCTCCGCATAATAATAATCCCGGATCGTGCACAGGTCTTCGTACGACGGGTCTTCAGAGTTGATAGTGGGGATGAGAGAGCGCGGATCGAAAGGGCGGCCCATGACCAGAGCCATGGGGCGGTCACGTGGGAGAGGAAGGCAGCCGAACAAGCCGACGGGCCAAAAGGGGATCGGGAAGCCGAATCTCCGGTAGGTGAACCGCTGCAGATGGGAGCACACAGTGGTTGGAACAGAGAGGAGAGCAGGGAGGGGGGTGTGGTGAGTTGGAAGCTGGGGAAGACAGAAATGGAGAGGGTGGAGGAACAAGACCATGTGGGTTGAAGGCTGCTGAGACGAGAGGATGAAGGAGAGGGAGAATTGGCTACGTGGTAGTATGAGCTGAGCTGGTGGAGCTATGACAGTGGATGGGTGTGGGTGGGTGTGGGTGGGTGGGCAGAGAGAGCAGGCAGGTACCTGGAGGGAGGGCCAGTGGAAGAGGTTGTCAAAGGAGTGGGGCTCGCCGAAGCTGAGCGTGGGCACGAGCAGAGCGTTGCTCTGCACGGCGATGCGCACGAAGCCAATCTTGCGCGCACACAGCGCGATGCACGATGACTGGTTGGTGGCGTGGTATGTGAGCTCCGACTGGTGGTAGAGGGGAGGCGAGGCAGAGAGAGTGAGCGGACGGTTGGGGCGCATGGGGAAGCGAGGAAGAAAGGGGCCAGGAATGGGGAAGTTAGGAGGGGAGGATACGAGAGCTGATTACGATGAAAAATGACAACGGAAAGAATACTAAGTGCAACCGTCTCGGGTGGGCAGAGGACGGGTGGACGGGCGTGGTGGAAATGCGGTGACAGGCAAAGGTCATGAAAGCAGTGGAAAAGGTGGGGACCAGAGGGGTTGGGGAGGAAGGGAGGCTGGAAGGGGAGGGGGGGTTGGAGCGGTGGGAAAGGGGGAGTGGGGGCAGCGGAGTTGTTCTCCCCACCTGTCCGCCAGGGCAAAGCACAGCAGCGCCGGTGTCCTTGAGCGCTGTGAGGAAGCCTTGCCGCGACACCTCGCGCACGCCGCCCCACAGGCAGTAGGTGCGCGCGAGGGGGATGCGGAAGCACACTGAGGCGACGAGCGGCACGGGGCGCGTGGCGGGGAAGAGAGCGCGGAAGGACGAGGAGAGCGGGAACCATGCCATCACTGCTGGCATCAGCCCATGCGGCTGGTGGGAGGGGAAATGGCGGGAGGGGAAATGGCGGGAGGGGGTGCGCTGAAGTGAGTGAGGGGTGGGGTGGGGAGTGAAGAAAGGGGAGGAGAGGGGATAAAGGTGGGAAGGGGCCGAGACGGTACACAGCAGGGTTGAGGACGGAGCTTGCATGCTTGGGTCACCTTTGAGAACTCCCAAAAGTGACACAGGGAAAGCAGGGTGGCAACAACGAGAGCGGAAAGCATGCCATCACTGTTGGCATCAACCCATGCTGGTGGAAGGAGAGAGGGCAAGAGAGAGTGGGCTGAGGGTGGGAAGTGAAGGGAGGGAGTGGGTGGGTGGTGTATTCATGGGGTGGGTGGGTGGCATGGCATGGCATGGCATGGCATGGCATGGAATAGCATGGCAGTGCAGGCTTACGTGGTAGGTAAATATGAGTGGGCGCGGAGGGGATGCAGCAGTGACATCACTGCCCTTGCCCTCCACACACCCCTCTCCACTCTCCAATCGGTGCCCCTTCTCCTTGCAACCCTCCTCTTCTTCTTGCTTATCGTGCTCCTGGTGCTTCCGTCTATTCTCCCATGTGCCGTGTGCTGCCCTCCATGCGCCCTCCTTCACAATGCTGATTCCGTGGAAATATGCCGCTGCTGCCTCTTCTAAAAGTGGCATCACTCTGCGCGAGGGAGGGAGAATCGGGAAGACGGAGGGAGAAGGGGAGTGGAGGGGGAAGGAGAAGGGAGGGGAGAGAGGGAGAAGGGGTGGAGGGAGGGAGAGGGGGGGAGGGAGGGAGAGAAGGGGAGGGAGGGAAAGGGGGGGAGGGAGGGAGAGGGGGGATGGAGGGAGAAGGGGGCAGAAGGCGCGAGACGAAGGAAGAGGGAGAGAGAGCGGGGGAGAGGGAGAAAGAGGTTCAATACTTGAGGAAAAGGCAACCAAAGAGAAAGAAACCCTTCAAAGGTCATGAAAGAGAAAGAGTGTACTCCCCACAGATCTCCTCTCCCAAGCTCACATAGCAGTTGCACCACAGCAATTCACTCACGCAAAAGGCGCGCCGAAGGCAAGCCTAAGAACCAGCTTCAAAGGAGAACTAATTTCCCAAAAGACAAGCCAGTTTCACGCAACCCCAATCCCCACCGGAGCTGCATCATAGCATGACTCACATTCTCTGCACCCACTTGCGCTCTCCTCTCCCCGACCGCTCGTATCCCCCGGGGCAGATCACGCAGTATGCAAACGCCCACGCCATGGCTGTGAGCAGCGCTGCACTGGCCATGCGCAGCCCACACACCACGGCACTGCTGCTCATCCCACCGAACCCATAGCTGTACCCGTTGCTGTAACTGTCACTGTAACTGTAACTGTGGTTGTAACTGCAGCTGCTGTGATCCTGTGGCTGCTGCTGCTGCTGAGTGTTGCTGCTGCTGTTGGTGGTGCAGGGGTGGGCGGGTAGCAGGGTGAGGAGCAGGATAGGAGCGAGTAGGGCAGCAGCAACGCAGTATTGCCAGCAGTAGAGGCCTGCCACTATGGTCGTGCTGCGAGCCTTCACTCCCACCCACCACAGCACCTCGCACACACTCAGTGAAAACTCGTCGCATGTGCTGCTCGTTGCTGAATCACACGCCCCCAGTAACAACAGCCCTTCCCTCCTATCACCCCCCTCTACACGCCCCACTGCACAGCCTGTAACAGCCTCCGAAACATCCTCCACTATCTCCATCGCCGCCTCGTTCGTTTTTCTCACTACTCCTCCCTCCAATCCTCTCATCATCCCTCGCATCACGCATTGCACCACCCCTCGCACGGCGGCCCCTGCGACCTCCCTCGCGCTCCTAGTCGCCACGAACAGCTCTCTCTCCGTCCACTGCGCCGGCCGTACCGCCACTGCGCGCCAAGCCTCGCCCCCCACGCTCCCCTGCACGCTGCCGCCGCCCCTGCACGCCCTCTCCGTCACGGACAGCGCAACGCCTGCTGATTCCGCCCCTGCTTCTGCTTCTGTTTCTGCTGCCACCGCCGCCGCTGCTGCTGCCGCACGAGCAGGAAGAGGAGGAGGAGAAGGTGACAAGAGCAGAGGTGGAAGATTAGAGGCTTTGCTGCTGCTGCTTACGGCACTCCTACTGTTGCGCTCATTCACAGCAGCGGCGGTAGCATCAGCGTCCGTAATAACGGCAGCGGCAGCGGTAGCGACAGCAGAAGCGGCAGCAGTACCACCAGTAGCGGTAGCGCGCGGAGAGGCAGCAGCAGGGGAGGCGTGGCGGCTGGGGCATTCGAAGGTGAGGAGCGAGGCCATGAGCAGGAACTCGGACGCGAGCCCCGTTGCGCCCGCGGACGCCAGCAGCCCGTACCCCAGCGTCGTGTGCCCCACGAACGCCGCCACCACCGCCACCGACGAGAAGATGAGCAGAGAGAAGGAGAAGAGCGTCCACGCCATGGCCTGGGGGGGGGCGCGAGGGGGGGGATGCGACGGGGGGGGAGGGAGGGGGAGGGGGGGGGGCGGGGTTTGAGATGGCGCAGGCGAGAAGATGAGCAGCGAGCGTCCACGCCATGGCCTGCGAGCGCGGCGCGGGAGAGGGGCGTGGGAGGGGCGCGGTGGAGAGGAGAATGAAGATGGAAGCGGAGTTTGAAATTGCGCGGAGCGAGAAGATGAGCAGCCATGTCATGGCCTGCGGCGACGGGGGCGCAGGGAGAGGGGGGGAAGGGAGGTACGGAGGGGAGGAGGGTGGCGCAACGGAGGGGGGAAAGACGATGGGAGCGGAGTTTGGAATGGTGCAGGCCTGAACCACATCCAGGGCACTAGGAGCATTAATAGGGCGCCATCGACGCGTTACGTATGAGCATCGCACGCACAATGACAGCCGTTGTCGACCGGACTCACGTGCACGAGCACTCGCACCGGCGTACCCAGCGCGCGTACAGCCCTCGCACCGAATTTCGTACAGCCTTCGCACAATTTCGTAGAGCCTTTGTACAGCTTCTTACAAGAGTCTCAGCGAGCAACCACGCACCTGCATGAGCACGAAGCGCAGTCCGCCCACGAACGGCTGCCAGAACATCCACGCCAGGTGGCGGTACCTCATTCGCCCGCCCAGCCCGTGCGTAAGCAGCGCGGCGCAGCACAGCCCCGAGGCGCTGAGCAGCGCCGCCATGGCCACGACGAAGTTGAAATTCACGACGCCGTGGAGACTCACCGCGGCGCCTCCTAACCCCATGACGCCCGACGGAAACCCGTCGCTAGCGGAAAACCCGTCGTCGACGGGTCTATCAAGTTCGCCATTGGAAAACAGCTTGAGGAGCGACACGGGAGCGGAAACCGCCCGCGACGACGCGGAGGTAGTAGCGGGATTCACGGAAGGGTCGTTTAGGGAGTTAAGGCCGAGATAGCCGCCTCCTAAGGCGAAAAGGAATAGGCCGGGGCGCAGGGAGGTGGAGGAGAGAGATGCGAGCCACGCGGAGAGATATGGACCCCATTGAGGCATTGTATCGAGGGCGGTGGCGAGGGCGGAGGAGCCGGCAGCGATAACGAGATTCGTCGCCATAAGCGCGGCGAAGCGGCACTCTCCCGAGGCGCGCTGGCGCGCGCTGCGGCGTTTCGATTGGGCGGCATCCGCGAGGGAGTCTTTGCAGCGGCGAGGAGCGGAGAAAAGTGCGAGGCTTGTGAGGCCTGGGGGGAAGGAAGGCGTGCTTGCGGGGCTGCTTGCGGGGGAGGAGGGTGTGGGCGTCGCGGTGTTGTTGATTCGACGGGCCGCTTGGCGGCTTCTCCGCTGTTTCATCGTGCTCGTTGGGTATTACTGAACTGCTTGAAAGGGCTCGGCAGGGAGTTGGCTGGGATGAACTGTGAATTTGAGACGCTCACGCGATGAAAGGCATCGAATCGTGCCCGCTCGTGACAGCGTGTCGGCTGCTTGAGCTAAGAAGAGTCGTCTCTTTAGCTCAAGGTTTGCCCGCGGCTGAGTGAGGAGGAAGTGAGGACCGAACGAGTCGACTTCGAAACGGTTGAGAAGAAAAAGTCAGCTCGATATCTATCCTTCCCGGTTCTGCAAAATCACGGCTCGAATAACAAGCAGATTCGGAAGCCCATGGGACGGGGGTCAGTACTTTCTGTGACTGCTGCAGGATCTCAATTCTCGACTGGAGTTGGCGCCAGATGAAAGAGAATCGCGTGGTGGTGGGTGTCGGGTGGTGGTGCGGAAACGGAGGAATTTACGGAAGGGAGGAACAAAGGAATACACCCTCTTTCGCGCTACACTGTCATTGGCTATATGGGCCCTGTGGCTCAACGCGCCAGAGGACGCGTTATAGTGGACTTTTGCACCAGTACGGTTTGACGTGGTTAGTTACTTTCGAAGACGGTCGTTTGAACGTTTGATATGGCTCGGTAGGGTACCCAGGATAACGAAATTGCGAATCACTCACCCCCTAGAGACGGTTATTGTAACAATTCTGAATACACCCTGTTTCTCGCTATTGTGTATGCCGGTATACTGAACCCTGTGGCTCAACGCGCCAAATTACGCGATATAGTAAACTTTTGCACCAGTTCGGTTTGACGAGGTCAGCTACCTTTGAAGACGGTCGATTAAACTTTTAATATGGCTCGGTAGGGTACCCAGGTCAACGAAATTTCGGATCACCCGCCTCCTAGAGACGGATATTGTAAACTTTTCAAATACGTCCAAGGAATAGTTCCACTGTTCAGTGTGTTTCCGCAGTTCAGTGTAGCGAGAAACAGGGTGTATGTCCAAGGAGCAGTTTCACTGTAGCCAGTGAATCCCGTTGCCAGTGTAGCGCGAAAGAGGGTGTAATGACAAGGGGGACGAAGAGGGTGACTGGTTGGGTGGCGGCGGGCAGTCTGCCCAGGGTATGCCCATTTGCAGCGCACAAACTCGTTTCCCGTTTTTCGTATTTCCGTCGGGATGCCCGGGTTCTGGGAAGCTTTTTGCTGCCACTTGTAACAACCTTCTTGCGTGCTTTGCCAGGCTCGCTGCCAAGTCCCCGCATCGCAGTGACGTGGACGAAAGGGTGACTTTCAAAAACTAATTAACAACCCCCGAGTCTGCCAATGGACGCCTTGCGACGCGGTCAATTGGGGGATTCCAATGCGAGAAGCAGCTGCTCTTTCGCAATAATACAGAAAATGGAAAAACGAGGAAAGACGAGAAATGGACCCGACACAACCCTATCACGAGGGGAATTGGCGGGCAAAGATGGAATGAGGTACAGGATGGATGAAACCCCTGCTTTTGAAGGGCATCCCGCACGAAGAACTTCCTGACGTCAGTGTCACCCTCGAAGAACACAACGAAGGCGTCGCAGGCGAGAAGGACGAACATCCACGGTGGTGAAGGCGTTGGTTGGACTGCATTTCGCAGATTCTCTCCGCAAACTACAGTACCTCGTGTGACGTCACCTACGCTCACCAACCAGATCAGCAGTGGAGAACAGAAACGCCATCTCGCCATTGCACAACCGCATCCAACTCAGTACATCGCAGTACTGAATAAATCACGAATATCCACAACCACATAGATTAATCCATTTTCAGAACATCAAAGAAAAAACACCTACTGCTGTGCAATCACTTCACGATCATGATCCTAAGAGCACTAGCATTCCCAATCTTCTGCACCACCACTGCCGTATCTCCAACGTTGCACAGCCCCCCACTTATGCCAGTGGCAATGGCTGCAGCCACAATAGCATCTGTGGCGTCACTATCAGTCGCATGGGCCCCACCCTCGGCCATAACAGGGTGCAGCCCCCTGACCAGCAATGCATGCCTGGCAGCAGCTTCGGCACCGGAGCAGCACACAAGGCGCAGAGGATCGTGCGGGTGGGGGATGAGCTCCGGGACTATGACTGAGAGCACGGGCATGGGTGGCCGGTACTTGGCAATCAGTCTCGAAGTGGCACCGGTGCGAGTAAGCACAACAATCACAGCGGCTCGAATCTGATGTGCACGGGGGTTGAGCAAGCAGGATTGAAAGGGGCACCGTGGAGTTAAGCAGGTGGCGCTCAAGATACAAGTCTTGAAAGATGAAAGAAGGTAAGCGGAGAGTGAGGGAAAAGCAATCCCTTTGAAAGGGCATAACATGAGAGCCAGACAAAACAATATACATATAATATCCGAGTGGATGGCTCACCATGTCAGCCGTCTTGACAGCAGACGAAGCGAGGCTCTCAATGGGGCTCATGGGCATGGCAGTGGCGGCCATCATGTCCTTATACGACGCAGCAGGGTCCACACTCGCCTCCGCCTCCCGGCACAGCCGCACCATCACACACGCCGCCTCCACGGGATACTGCCCCGCCGCTGTCTCCCCCGACAGCATCACCGCATCAGTCCCATCCAGCACAGCATTCGCCACATCGGTGCATTCAGCGCGAGTGGGGCGCGGGAACTTGGTCATGGACTCGAGCATCTGGGTGGCGGTGACGACGGGTTTGCCGGCCTTGTTGCACTTGTGGATCATCATCTTCTGCGCCAGGAAGATCTTCTCGATGGGGATCTCCATGCCCAGGTCGCCTCGTGCTACCATGATGCCGTCTGACTCGCGCAGAATGTCGTCAAAGTTCACCAGCCCCTCCTGGTTCTCCACCTTTTAGGGGGGAACAAGGGGAATCAAGGACGCATCACACAGGGTGGCAAAGGACAGAGTATTACATAATGAATTCACCATGATGCCGTCTGACTCGCCCAGAATGTCGTCCAAGTTCACCAGCCCCTCCTGGTTCTCCACCTTGTAGGGGGGAACAAGGGGAATGAAGGACGCAACACACAGGGTGGCAAAGGAAAGAATATTACATAATGAATTCACCATGATGCCGTCTGACTCGCGCAGAATGTCGTCTAAGTTCACCAGCCCCCCCTGGTTCTCCACCTGTTGGGGGATTGGGGGAGGGAGGGAGGGACGCAGGTCCACAAGAGGGTAACAGATTTGGAAATGTAGGTTTGGGGTAACTGTTGCATGTCACTGGAATCCTGGGAGAAGCAACTGCTACTGGTGGCAGTGGCGGATGCGAGTGATTTGAGTACACCAAAGGGAGGTTGAAGCGATCAGAAAAGAACTCACAATGTCAGCCCTCCTCACAACCCCAAACAGCCACGTCCAGATACAGCCTTCAAACCCACCTTCAACCCCCCTCCTCCCTCCCTCCCAACCCCACCTCCTCCCTCCCTCCCAACCCTGCCTCCTTCCACCCTCCCTACATCGCCCATCTCCCATCACCCGTATCCCACCTTGGAGATGATATGGATGCGCTTGCTGTTCTCCGTCCCCAGCAGCTTGCGGATCGCGACAACATCCGAGCCCTTGCGCACGAACGAAGCAGCGATGAAGTCAACGCCGTGCGGCACGGCCCAGTGCAGGATGTCCTCTGCGTCCTTAGTGGTGACAGTCGGCAGGTCCACTATCACGCCCGGCAGGTTCACGTTCTTGCGCTCGCCCAGCACTGCCGTGTTCTCACACCGGCACCGCACCGTGCTGGGAAAGGAAATGGGTGGGGGGAGGGAGGAGGGAGGAGGGAGGAGGGAGGAGGGAGGAGGGAGGAGGGAGGAGGGAGGAGGGAGGAGGGAGGAGGGAGGAGGGAGGAGGGAGGAGGGAGGAGGGAGGAGGGAGGAGGGAGGAGGGAGGAGGGAAGGAGGGAGGAGGGAGGAGGGAGGAGGGAGGAGGGAGGAGGGAGGAGGGAGGAGGGAGGAGGGAGGAGGGAGGAGGGAGGAGGGAGGAGGGAGGAGGGAGGAGGGAGGAGGGAGGAGGGAGGAGGGAGGAGGGAGGAGGGAGGAGGGAGGAGGGAGGAGGGAGGGAGAGGTGGGAAGGATGTCGGACAGAAAGATGCATGAGGACGACATTTGTAGGCCCGGGTTGGCTGAGCCAGTTAATTGCGCAGTCAGCCAGCCCGATCAAGCATGCATGCAGAAACCAAACCCCCTTCTCAAAACCCAACCCAGAACCCCAACCTCCAAAACCCCGAATCCCGAACCTCAAAACCCCATGTACAAATAGATCTGTCTCCCCTCCCATTCCCTCCCACAGCTCACCCTTTCGCCACGTCGCATGCGAGCACGGTGAGCGAGATGCTGCCGTCGGCGCACAGGATCTGCCCGCCGGGGCGCACGTCCTTGGCCAGGCTCTGGTAGCTCATGGCGATGGTTGTGGCGTCCCCGAGGGTGGCGTAGTCCGTCGTTAGCGTCACCTCGCTGCCCTGCTGCAGCTGCACCGCCTTTCCGCCCTTCAGCTGCCCCGTGCGGATCTCGGGGCCCTGGCGGAGGGGGAGACGCGCGGGGAGCGGGGGAAGAGGGGGAGCGGGGGAGGATGCGGTGGAGGAGAGTGGGATTGGGAGGGAGGGAGAGAGGGTGGGGAAGGGGGGGCGCGGGGATTTGAAACGCTGAGATTATGATTGACGGCCAGTATAGGGCATCCCCACTCCTGCACTAAAACGCTGCCTAGACATTCCGCGAATAGGAGACTGAAATAGATCCTGCAAATCTCAAGTTCTGACGTGGCAATTACAGTCTTGAGATGAATTCCCAACGCCGCATTCGAGTCGAATCAAGGCTCGCGAGCCAACACTCACCTTGGTATCCAGCAGCGTGGCGCACAGAATCCCCGTGTTCGCCATGGCGGCGCGCAGGTTGTTGAGCGTCTCCAGATGATACTCGTGCGAGCCGTGGGAGAAATTGAACCGCGCCACGTTCATCCCCGCTAAGAGCAGCTTCTCCAGAACCGGCACGCTGCGCGACGCGGGCCCCAGCGTGCAGATCATCTTGGTCTTGCAGTCGTTGCGCGGCCCGTAGTGGTGGTGCTCCTCCGCGCAGTAGCTCTGAATCACGCCATCATCCACCATAAAACTATCCTCCAAACTGTTATCGAGGTCGCCGTGAACGGATCGGATCCGCGGGAGCATCCCGCCGCCGCCGCCGCCGCCGCCGCCGCCGCCGCCGCCGCTGCCGCTGCCGCTGCCGTGATCCACGTCCATCAAGTGCGACACGACGGCCCTCTCGCGTCCCATGCCCTTCCACACGTCCACCACCTTCGACAGTCCCTCTCTCACGCGCCGCGACCACTTCTGCGCGTGAGCGCGCCGCCCCGCCTCCATCTCCACGGCCGCGTCGCACATCTCCGCCCACTCCGCCGCGGCCGCCGCGGCGGATTTTACGCGGTCATCGTAATCGTCCAGATCGGTGCGGTCCGGCCAGAGATCAGGGTCCGACTTAACGGTCCGATTCAGAGGGACCAAGGTGTGATACTCGACGACGCTCGCGCCGTCCATCCGCCGGCGCTTCGCTAGGGAAGCTAACTCGCATGGGGCCGGATGCTGGCCGCAGCCGTTCGTCGCATTGTTACCGCCTGTAGTCGCAAGGGGGCTCGTTGAATTGCCGTTCGTCGCATGGCCGTTTGTCGCGTGGCCGTTCGTTGATTGGTTCACGAAAGAGTTCGTGATCCCCGTCATGGTGAAAAAGCAGCGAGAGTGCGGATCGAGGGCGGGATAGGGGACCTCCTCGGAGTAGGACGAACGAGACACCAGACCAGACCACGAACGATCTTGCACACCCCTCGCACAGCACAAAGGTGGAGCGAAATTGCGGGGTGCGAGAACGCCGCGCACAGGGACAAGATAAATCCGGATCGAGCGAAGGTTAGAGAATTGGAGGGTAAGGCTGTTGCTGTTAGGGATCACACAGGTTTGAGAAGTAGGCCACAAGATGACCAGACAGAATGGTGATGAGATTATCAGGTGGGTGTGTAAACGGGATGCAAACGGCCGAGGGAGCGACGCAGGAGAAAATGGTTGGAATTTGGTAAGGAACGCATCTGAAACCTCACGACAGGTGTTTGATCGCTGCGCGATCCTGATCGGACTTGAAAATGCGTGCAGTGGTATGTAGTCGGGTGGAGTGGGATTAAATTATATTTTGAGCTGGTTGGGAGGTGCGGGTTTGGGATGGGATGGGGGACGAATAGGAATCTACAGCTTTTAGACGATTTTGATGTGCGGGAGCCGACGCGGCGCTGCCATGCATGCCGGAAACACGGAGAGCCAACCAAACCGAGCAATGACGTTCTCACCATTCGTTTTTTGCGGGAAACCCTGTGCCCAAGGGGGAGTTTCTGCGCTCTTGTTGGTATAATGCGGGTCAATAAAGCCAAGCTTTGCATGTGTGGCACTTTGTGGCCGGGGGTGAGAGAACAGCGCGAAGGTGGTATGGGGGTGGAAAATCTTTGGGGAAACCAACGGAAGTTCAGAAACAGGGGTTTTGCCAAGGTTTTTCAAACCGCTGCGACTCGGGAGCATTCATTGTCATGGGGGGCTCTGCAGCCGACCAGCCTAGGGGGGTTGAAGTCCGCTTCCGCATTTTGAAATCCCATTTCGGCGCAGCTTCATTTCCTGTTTTTTGGGGAACATGGGCCTGCGCATCACATGACTCACGCATCACTGTACTTCCCGCCAGGTATCGTGGGGACTAGGGGCGCGTCCCCCGCTATTGTCACAACTTCGGTGGACCATTGGCATCATGAGCACTGAACTTAAAGCTGAAGTATACATTTGTCATCCAGGTTTTGGGTTTAGAAAGTCACCTCACGGTCTCACAGGCAAACTTTCAAATTTCAAAAGTTTTTGAACCCCTTCTGTCAAATGTATACGAAAGCTTTAAAACAAAGGTGCACATTCCTAGGGGTGGTTTTCGGGTGTATTGGTCTGGTACACCCTCTAGGGTGCTATGAATGGTTGGCGAAGAGTCCAACCATACGAAACACTCGAGCTAGGGGTGGAGAATGTGCTGGCGAACACCAAGCAAATTCGTCGGCGAGTTGGGTTGGGGAAACAGACGGGGGAAGGGGAGGCAAGTGATAAACCTTTGAGACAACCACCCCCAAAGTGCACCCTTGCTTTAACCGAGAAAAACAAAGCTTCGATAAGCGCAGAACACATATCTAGTGCCAATCATACATGAATCATAGTGGTCTCACAATCACTACTTTGATGTGGACAACATGTAGTTCATCCTCATAATAAGGTCTTGTGCCGACAATGCTCCCTCCTGCAGGAAAATACTACCGCACCATGAGTTGCATGCTTGATTGCTGACGACACAACTTATGCGAATCAGCTGTAATCTTACCACACGATCAATAACTTGTCCTTTCCGGAAAAGTATCAAAGTAGGCAGGCCCTGGATTCCATACCGCGATGCCAGCTTAGGGTACTTCTCCGTGTCAATCTTCACCTGCGGTGTACAAGTCAGGCAAACACCATGCCATCAGAGCAGCTAGCAACTCCGTGTGACCTCCATGTCACGAAGGACGGAACACGACGTACACACTGCCAGGGTTACGACTAGGCTGACACATACGATTTTGACGGAATCGCCAACTTGAGCAGACACTTGTTCCAAAGTCTTCGCCACAATTTGGCAGGGGCCACACCTAAGATACGGAGAAATATAAACGGGGAGGGGGAGCTTCGTTGTGTAAGTGTGATTAATGTGCGCTGTTCTTTAATGTCATGTATTCGCTCAATTGCCGTGTGAAGTTCCTGACAGTGTAAGTTGAGCTCAAACCCCATCCGCCAGTTTATACCATCTCTTAGATCTCACAAGAGAAGGGAGTGACATACCATGTGGCATAGAAGTCAACAAGAACCACGTCCGCCGTTTGAATCATGTCATCGAACGAAGAGAACGTCTGCTTTCCCGCTGCCGATACGACAAAGCGTCGCGACTGCTCAAAGTACAAGGACATAAAAGGCAAATCAACGAATTGACATTAAAAAAAAAAAAAAAAAAAAAAAAAAAAAAACATAAGGTTTGCCCGAACATTGGAGGACCAATTCGCAATTACGAACGGCTCATGAAGCTGATGACGTATGGAGCAAGCCTACCGTCGTGGAATTATTCGGCTGAGGTCGTAGAGGAATTGACGATTGAAGAAAAGAACAGCGCAGCGGTGAGGTGGCGACGGAATTACGATGAGACGGAACCCGCCTGATGCCCGACATGGAAACTGAAGGGACCGAAACGGAGCCCTTTGGAACTAAATGACAGCTTAGTGGGGCATAGACGGCTGGCGGTGAAACTGCTGCCGATCCACAGATATGCGCCATAGTGATAGTAGCACGAAAATGGCAGACGTCGACGGAAAAGCGGAGTATTTGAAGATAGAAACCATCACTCTCTCACCCTGCAGCACTCCAGTTGCCCTCCGAGCGACATGGCATGAGGCATCTGGTCAGCTATGACATGACGATTGAGAGCAAAAGCATCCAGTCAGCAGGCATACCTGGCTGAATGTCATTGGTGTCCGTATGCTTTCTTGGGAAGAAAAGTGCTTGCCAGCGCGGCACATCACGCCGAGTTGGAGCCTTCCTGAATCCAGATTCCAGAGACACAATTTCGGTGGATGTAACACCCTTTGACGAGAAGTACCTGATTAACGAAACGTGCAAAATCTTGACGATTGATTGCGAGAGTTCTTGTGTGGGTCGATATACACCTCACGCGATTGTCGCTATCGTCGCGCATGCAGTCATTGGTCTTTTTGTCCAAACGAGGATGTTACCCATCAGTCCAGAGATTCAAATCCCTCGCAAGCAACTGGTTGTGTGATCAAATCCCGCTTTTCCCCGACACATCCGACACATCCGTCCACCAGCTCTTGGACCCCTCACGCCTCTCTCCGCCCCCTGCGCCCTCCCTCCTTCCCTTCCCAACACTCCACATGCCCCCATCTTGTACACTCTATTTTGCGCTACACTGACAATGAGATTCACAGGCTACAGTGTGTACTGTTGCTTGGAACGTAGCGGTCTCGTGCTTACAGCCGAACTGCAGGTAGTGACGGGCAAATGGACTCCTGGTGAACGGTACACAACGGTTTTCAGAAAACAACTTGCTTTTGGGTACAGTTGAGTGTGAGCAAACGTGCTTATATCGTATGTGCATGGACCATCCTGGACGCATTGATGTGTATACATCCGATCAGTTAGTATAGCCATTGAAAGTGTAGCGCGAAACAGAGTGTACTGTATACAGACCAGCGTTCCGCCGCATCCCGCCAAGCCCTCCCAACGGCCTCGTTGTAACGCACGTGACCAAGCTCCGTCGCTATGAACGCAATTCCTTCGCCGCATGGCATCCCTTAGCTTTCGCGAACGTCGCCTTATCTCGCGTCTCGCCGACAAGCACTGGTGTGCGTTAGACCAGCCTGCGCTGGTGCTGCACTAGTTCTTCCTGTCGTGGTCACCTGCTGTACTGTAGTCCGTCAAATTCGCCTCATCTGCTGCTCACTCGCTCGTTTCTTCCTGCTTTGTACTTTACGAAACGCCTGTGCGTGGTTGACTCGCCTCGCTAACCACCCACCGTGAAATCCTAGCCATTCGTTCACATCTCACTTATCACTTTTCACCGTGAAGTCAGTCCCTGGTTGTGAATGTGTACAGGGTAATCCGCTCTCAATTACGAATCTTAGCTCGCGCTCCGGGTTGCTGGCATCGCTCGCGTTGCGACGCTCCTTTCTCGCATCGCAGTGCATCGTCTGCGGTCATCAGGCCGTCAAATATCAAACTCGTCGCTCACCATCCTCTCTTACTGTCCCAGTCCCACATCGACAAACCTCCCGTGGGGCCTCCCCGTATTCGTTCCGTCGTCCGTCATCGGCCGTTTCCTCCCCCCATGCCGCGTTTCTCGCAGTCCACTCTCGTCTCAGCGCGTGGTACGTAGCGGTTATCGTCGCGTCGCGAGCAGCAAATCCCACTCGAATCCCGCAGACCGGCCTCGATATGGAAACCGCCACAGTCACCGCCACCGCCGCCACCGCCGTCACGAGCGCCGTTGCCAATCCCCATTGCGCGTCGCGGAGCGGAGCCGGTGCGTGCGCTGCGAGCGCGGAGCGGAGCCCGTCGGAGGGCCCCGCGCGAGAGGACTCCGGGAACTCGGAAGAGCCGGGGCGGGGAAACGAGGGCGGAGCAGGGGCAGGGGCGGTGGGGGCGGCAGCGGCCGCAGGAGAGGTAGCGGGAGTAGGAGGGGGAGGGGGAGAGGGAGCGGCAGCGGAAGCGGAAGCGGCGGAGAATGATCCGATGCGTTCCTTCGCGCACGCGAGCCACTCGGGAGTGGCGTCTCCCCCGTTCGACCCGTCGGACCTGCACATCTCGCCCACGCGCTTCCTCGGCGCCGTGAGTTGCGCGCGCACTTCCTCTCCCTCTCCCTACCCCTTCCCCTCTACCCCACGACAGCAGCGCCGTCAATCGCGCTCTGCCTTTCGCACGATGTGTCAGCGCCGCGCGCTGCGCACGCGATGCCTTTTACACAACGCCAGCGCTGCTACGCGCGCGTGCTGAGCCCCTTCTGGTCTGGCCCGAAGCGACGCGGCGCGCTTATAAGCTCTCCACCTGCCTCTGCATCACACGCTGCTGCCTAAATGCGCCTACCCTGTTACTCTTCCCAACCCCCACGCCCCCGCTTCGGCCTGTCCCGTCTTCCCCCGACTTCCCCCATCTTCCCCCGTCTTCCCCCATCTTCCCCCGTCTTCCCCCATCTTCCCCCGTCTTCCCCCATCTTCCCCCGTCTGCCCCCGTTCCCTCGCGGGACTCGCGCCTGGCAACCCCTGCATTCCGCCGCAGGCCCATTTGTCTCCCCTGCGCCCACTCTCCTGCATGCTTTCCACTCCCCCCCTTCTCACGCCTGTTCCTTGCTTGCATGGCATGGCATGGTGCCGTATGGGATAACACGGCATGGCATGTCATGGCATTATATCGTCTTCTGTTCCATGACATGACACGGCATGATGACACGGCATGATCATGGCATGGCACGGCATGGCATGACACGGCATGGCATGGCGTATGGCAGGGCACGTATGGCGAGGCGCGCATGGGGTCATGGCACGGGCAGGCCGTGGCCGTGAAGATCCTCAAGAACGCCGCTGACTCGCTCCTCTGGTCCGTTCACCGATTCATTCACCTGCTTGCTGCCACTTGCTCTCCGCACTCTTGCGTCGCCTGCTCTGTTCTGCAAGTCCTGGCAGCAGCACGAGTGCTGTGTTGCGTGGTGGCAGGCAGGCAGCATGGCGCTGTGCACAGTGCTGTCTCTTGAGTCGACTCAATTACAAAGCCCGCTGCGCACAGTTTTGAGGCGCCTCAAAACTGAAGTCTGCTGTGCAGAGCGCTGTGCTGTGCGGTGCTGTGCTGTGCTGTGCTGTGCTGTGCGATGCTGTGCTGTGCTGTGCTGTGCTGTGCTGTGCTGTGCTGTGCTTTCCTGTGCTGTGCTGTGCTGTGCTGTTCTGCTGCTGCTGCTGCTGCTAATGTGTTCCATGCAACACCGTCAGAGTGCAGCCCACAATGTCTCTCCGCCCCGCCGCCCCCTCTCTTCCCCTCCTCCTCCCCATCCGTCCTCTCCCCTCTCCCCCCCCTCCCACAGCACCTTCTTCCTGCGCGAGGTGGCGTTGACGCGGCGCATGCATCACCCCAACATAGTGCGCTTCCTGGGCGCCAAGACGGACGCCATGCCCTTCATGCTCGTCACTGAGATGCTGCCCATGGTGCGCGCAGGGGGGAGAGGGGGAGAGTGGGGGGAGAGAGGGGGGAGAGTGGGGAGAGAGTGGGGAGAGAGTGGGGGGAGAGTGGGGGGTGATGGTGGCCATTATGAGGGGGGAACGGTAGGGGGTTGGCAACGCAGCTGTCGGGGCTGTGATTGACGCCATGCCGCTCACCATGCTCCTCACTGAGATGAGACGCTGTTGCCCGTGGTGGTGGGGGCTAAGGGGGGAGGAAGGGGGAAGGGGGCGGGGAGAGAGGGGGGAAGACTGAGGGAACGGGAGATGGGGGTGATGCTGCTGCCTATTGTGCTTGCGCCTCCATGCTCGTCACTGAGATGCTGCTTATGGTTCATGGGGGAGGGGAGGGGAAGGGGGGAGGAAGAAAGGCCTCTGTTGTCTCATGCCTGCCTGTCTCTCCCTCACTGCATCACATGGCATGGCGTGGCACGGCATGGCATGACATGTCATGACACTGCATGGGTGTGGGTGCGTGCACCATGACTGCACTCACAGGGCGATCTGCATGATTACATCCAGTCCAAGTCGCCTCTGGGCGCGCGCCAGGTCCTGCTCTTCGCCCTTGACATTGCACGGTGAGAGCCGTGCTCATGCTGATGATGATGATGATGATGATGATGATGATGATGATGATGATGATGATGATGATGATGATGATGATGATGATGATGATGATGATGATGATGATGATGATGATGATGATGATGATGATGATGATGATGATGATGATGATGATGATGATGATGATGATGATGATGATGATGATGATGATGATGATGCTGATGCAGATGTGCCAAGGAGTTGGGCCATGCGGGGCATGAGGGGAAGGAGCGTGCGGGGCGTGAGGGGGGTGTTGACTTGTGTTCTGTGGCGAAGGCCATAGCTGCTCACTTGAACACACACCGACGCGGACGCAGGGGGCTGCAGGGGAATCCAGGAGGATGCCCAGGGGTGCAGGGGGGTCTGTACAGCCTCTCGTTCCACCCTTCCCACCATACCCGTTAGTCTCTACTACAATCCATCCACTCTACATCCTGCTGCTCCATCACTAAATCCGCGCTCATCTCTCACATCTCACATCCCCTTGACCCTCCTTGCCGCACCATCTCTTGCCCCAACTCACCCACCTCATCTTTCCCCCCACCCACTCATCCACCCCCCTGCGCGCGTGTGGTGGGTATGCTTTCGCTTATGCTCCGCTTCCCATGCCCCTCCTCCCCATGGATTGTCTGGCAGTGCAATGGAGTATCTGCACGGGCTGTCTCCGTGTATGTTTTTTGAGAATTCTTAAAAGACATACACCGCTTATGCTTTCGCTTATGCTCCCCTTCCCATGCCCATCCCATGGATTGTCTGGCAGTGCAATGGAGTATCTGCACGGGCTGTCTCCGCCCATCGTGCACCGAGACCTCAAACCACAGTACGCCCCTACCATGCCCTGCCTTGCGATGCCATGCTCTGCTCTGCTGTGCCCATTCCCATGCTCAAGCCCATGCCATATTCCCGTGCCCATTCGGTCATTCAAACCTCTGTCTATTCACATGAGCAAACGCGCCTCCTTCTTTCCCCTCTTTCGTCTCTCCCTTTTCCCCACCCCCTGTTTCCTCCCCCTCTGTCTGCTCTTCCTGTTTTCCCCTGGCTGTCTTCACCCCCCGCACCTGTGTGCGTGCACGACAGCAACCTACTGCTAGACATCCGAGGGCATTTGAAGCTCATAGACTTTGGCCTCGCCACCACTCTCCCTCCTCCGTCCACACCCCCACTCCCACATCCGCACCCACACACACACCGTTCCACCTCCCAGCAACAGCAGCAGCAACATCAGCAGCAGCAACACTCCCTCCGGGTTGAAGACAGCACGGCTCGAATACAAGGGGGGGCGGGATGTGTGGCAGCAGCAGGGGGAGCAGCAGCGGGAGTGGGAGGGGGGTCGGTGTCACCATGCTCGTCAGTGCCTCCCACGGTCAACTCCTCACTCTCCTCTGACTGCTCGGATGCCTCTGCTGCTGCTGCTCCTAGCGACAAGCCCTTGGAGAGTCAAGCTGGCACTTGTACGTGTGTGCACTTACATACTGCCAGAGGTATTTTTCCACGAGCCCTAGCGTTGCGTTACCACATCGCTCCTCCATCCCCCCCACCTCATTTTCCCCATCCCTCGTCCCTCTCCCTCAGACCGCTACATGGCGCCAGAGGTGTTTCGCCACGAGCCCTACGGCACGCCCGTTGACGTCTTCTCCTTCGCCATCCTGCTGCACGAGGTGCAAGGGAGGGTCGGGGTGTGCGTAATGGGCAGGTCGGAATGGGGAGGGGGCGGGGCAGGCAGAGTAGTTTGAAACTTCTCCTTCACTATCCTGCTGCACGAGGTGCAAGGGCGGGGTGCAACGCAGTGGTTTGGTTTGGAGGGGTGGGCGGGGTGGGTTTTCAGTCGACTCAAATGTCACCTTGCTGCACGAGGTGCAACGTATTAGTTTGGAGGGGTGGGCGGGGTGTGGGGGAGGGCAGCGCGGGGCAGACGAGTGTGGAACTTAGTTGAATTCCGAGGCGCTTCAGAATTCAACTCACTACATGCGGGAGGGCAGCGCGGGGCAGACTAGTGCGGAACTTCTCCTTTGCCGTCCTGCTCCGTGCGGTGCAAGGGAGGGGGGAGGGTGGGGAGTGTGGGGAGTGTGGGGAAGGGTGGAAAGGTGGGGAGGGTGGGTATGGTGGTGGGCAGAGGGGGGGGGGATGGGGAGGGACCGGGCAGTGGGCAGTGGATGGATCGTGGTGAAGCAACTTTGTGCATGTTTGTGAAGTGAAGGGTGAGATCACGTACACAGGAGCAGCAGTGGGGGGTTGGAGAACGGAGTTATCTTGAGTTGACTCAAAAGAGAAGAGAGCGAGTCAACTCACGAGCGAGCTTCTGCATGTGTGTGAAGGGTGAGGTGAGCGCAGCACACACATAAGAGCAGCAGAGGGATGGTGGTGAGACATGAGTGCTTTTGAGACGTTTCAAGAGCAGCAGAGGGATGGTGTGAGACATGAGTGCTTTTACCTTCTTGCTCCTCGGCTGCCCGTGCTCCTCCGTATCCTCCCATCAGTTTCCTCCCCTCAGTTCCCTCCCCTCAGTTTCCTCCCCTCAGTTTCCTCCCCTCAGTTTCCTCCCCTCAGTTTCCTCCCCTCAGTTTCCTCCCCTCAGTTTCCTCCCCTCTGGTACCGGATGCTCATTAGCACTCTTATGATCATGTTTGAACCCACCACCTGTTCACACATCCCCACTCTTCCCTCCCAACCACCGCTTTCTCCTCCTTACCTGTCCTTCCGTGCACCCCCCTCTTCTCGTTCCTCACTCTCTCCCCCCTTCCTCCCCTTCCTCCCCTCTCTCCCCTCTTCCTCCCAATCCTGCTCTCCCCGTCCCACCCTCCTCAGATGTTTGAGGGAGGGCAGCAGATGAAGCTGCTGACGCCACAGGAGGTGGCGAGGAAGTATGCTCTCAACGTGCGCCCGGTCTTCAAAGCCCGCACATACCCACCGCATGTCAAGGAGTGAGTGTCGCCTCTGGCACCTCTTGCAGCTGTTGTCGTCTCTTGCATTGATCTGCATGCGCTTCCAGCACTCTCATTGCTGCCTTGCCAGCCTTCCCGTTACCCTCCTTCCAGTTTACTCCAAGCTTTTAACACCATCAAGCCCCCCTCGCTGCCCTCCATCTGCCATGCACACCCCCTTTTCCTCCCCTCGGCCCCTGTCCCCCTTCGCCCCTGCTCCATTCTCCCCTTCCCCCACCAGCTCCATAGCCACCTGCTGGCACCAGGATCCGTTGCAGCACCCACCCACCCTTCTCCAGGATCCCGCCTTTTAGTGGCGCCTCGAGATCTAAGTACTCTTCCCCCTCCCCCTCTGCATCCCTCCCCTCCCCCCTCATCACCAGCTTCATAGCCACGTGCTGGGACCAGGATCCATTGCAGCGCCCACCCTTTTCCAAAATCCGGCCCTTCCTGGAACTAACTTTGGAAGATCTAGGCCCCTCGCCTCTCTCCTCCCTCCGCAATGCCGCCGCGCACACCGCCTCACCTGCTCGTGATTTCTCAGGGAACGGTGCTGGTGGTGGCGGCGGCGGTAGCAGTGGGTTTGGTGGCTGTGCAGGTGGGAATGGTGGGGGGAGACATAGCCATTTGACTCGGGCTTTAAATGCCATGTGGGATGCCGGAGCAAGTCCGGGGGGTACGAGTGGGTTGGGTGGGGTAAAGGATGGAGCCCAGAGGGTGGGTGATGGCATGTGCAGGCAGGTGCCTTGTAATGTCATGTGATGCATGGCACACTCACTGTCGTGTGCGTAAAATATTTATTAGTTCATTTGTAAGTAGTAAGCAATATGCATGTAAATTAGTTCACTCCGTTGATGTTTTCTTGAACAGGTGGAAAGGAAAACATTCTGCTAAACCCTACACAGATGGTCATTGTATAGAGCTGTGGATCAGCACTCAAGGCCTGTGTATACCTACGGTAACTGGCAAAGCACTACACTTACCCTGCCTGGTTGCATTCCAATCGAATCCAAGGTTTTATTTACTTCATCAAATCTAGAGCTCAGACACACAACACAATCCACAGCATAGGACAAGCCACCAAACACCCACTTTGCAGCCTTGCTCATTGAATACAATGAAGCAATAGCTGGACAAGACAAAGCACACGAAGCCATAGAAATGGAATTTAAAATCTCTCAAAAATATTGGTACTGTACTCGATAGAAATCTACACCCCTACAAGAATGATGCAAGAGGAACAAAAATGGCACTCGTTGACAACTGAGCCTCAGAAATTACCGAGCTGAGGAGTTGCTTGCAGCTTGAGTGCACAGGGTAGACAAGGATCGGAGTGGGGGGGAGTGGCGACAAGAAACGAGGAGTGGAGAGGAGCACCAGCAGAGGGTCCGCCATGACGCCCAGACCACAGACACAGCCTTGAAAGGCCTCGAACCGCACCGCATGCAAGGGCATGGCAGGGCCATAGGGCATCGGATGGAGGCCAGTGAGGAGTCTCCTCCCCTCTCCACGTGGACCAACTTGCAGCAGTAGAAGCAGGAGCAGGCGCGGAAGACCAAGGGTACCGCAGGGGGTGAGTGGAGAGGGGATACAGAGGGAGAGGGAAAATGTCCCCCTGTCCACACGGTCGTTGCGGCTGGGAAAAATGCCTCAAACCAACCCAGCCACCCAAGGGACAAAATTTGGGGCTGGGAGGGAGTGAGAACCCGCAGAAAAATGACCGGGCGGATTGGGGAACAGAGGGTGGTGCGCAGCTGATGCTCTCACTCAGCAGTCCATGAGAGGAAGGCACTCAGGTCAGAGTGACGTAGAGCAGAAGAAGAGTGGCTGTACGTAAGACCGGGAGGAAAAGTAAGGATATAATAGTGACCGGGCGAGGAGGTAGAAGAGATAATCATGTGCAGGGAACAAAAGAGGGGGGGGGGAAGAAGAGGGAAGAGGGGGGAACGGAGGGCCTAAGAACAAAATTGAGTGGCTGGCCAGCAGATGCTTGCCCACACACACAGAGACACAGATGCACATGGCAGCGAGTGCGCTGTGTGGTGTGCGTGTGGGGTTGCATGCGTGGTGGCAGCACACTGGGTGATGATGCAGGCTCGCACAACCAGGACGGAACGGTCCTGCTGTGCAGCGCAGCGTGGCGAGTGCTGGTAACGGCACGACGCCGTCCACACGCCAATGTTACACGGGGTGGAGAGTTTACGGACGCGGCTTCATGGCAATCGGCCGGAACACCATCTGCCACGAGAGCACACACACACGGAAGCACCACACGACAAGCAAGGAGGGAAAGACGCGGGAAGAAGAAGAGCAAAGGGGGAAAGGGTGGGAGGGGAGGAGGGAGGAATGGAAGAGGGTAAGGAGAAGGACGAAGAAGATTCACTGAAGAAGAACTAGCTATCAGACGCCTGTCCTGTGCTTACAACAATCACACAGCCACCTCTCAACACACACTCCCCCTGGCGTTTCCACCGCATAGCGTCTCTCACCTGTGAGGTGGTGCGAGTTGCTGGCTCTGCTGTGCTGCTAGCAGAGCGGCGGCGGCGCTTGCCAGGAGGGAGCGCAGAAGCAGGCTTGGCTGGAGGTGCAGGGCACGTTGCAGTGAGGCCCCCCATGCGGCCAGGGAATGACGTGGGCAGCTTCGCCTGCTGCGGGCGCAGTGCGTGCGGCGCTGGTGCTATGGGAACCATGGCTTTGGCGCCACCACCGCCCCCTCCCTCCCCGTGATGCTTCTTCTGCTGCTGCTGCTGCTGGTGCGCCTGGTGGTTCTGCTGCTGCTGCTGGACAGCCATGGTAGAAGCTTTTGCCTCGTCCTGCTGATGCTGCTGCTGCTGCTGCTGCTGCTGCTGCTGCTGCTGCTGTTGCTGGGCTGCGGAGGCTGCAGCAGCGGAGGCCATAGCGTGTGCCTGTTGCGCCTGCACAGCAGCCTGCGCCACTGCCGCCATCACCCCCCACTGCTGCGCGGCTGCTGCTGCATCCGCGGCCGCCACTGCAGCAGCCGTCATGGGGCCGCCATGCAGGTGAGACGGAGGCGGCAACATGGCAACAGGCACGGGCACAGGCACGGGGACGGCAGGCGGGAGCGGTAGCTTCATCTGGAGATTCTGTAGCGGCTTCATGGGGGCGTAGGAGCGCGGGCGGGCGTGGGAGGGCGGCGCTGGCTGGATTTCACGGGGCTTCCTGGGAAGGAGCAAGCCGGGCGAGAGAAGGGAGACGACATTGAGGTGCCTGGATGACTTGGCTGGATGAGAGGAGGTCTTGTTATAGGGAGGAGAGGGGAGAGAGACAGGAGAGTGAGACGAAGAGCACAGTAGCGTATCGGTGAGTGGGATGACCGCATGTCGTTGCATGCAGTAAAAAAGTTTCACTACAACAAGTGTGCACACGAGCAGGGCAGGAGAGAAGAGCGTCACAATGAGCAGGGTAGTGACCAGACAGATACCTGTGTTTTTGGGTTGGGCAGTGCATATCACCTACACCACCAGCAGCCTGCGCCTTCTGCCCGCCACACGGCACTGGCGCATACATGCGCGCGGAGGGCGCAACACTCCCCCCGTCAGCCCTGTCTTTGTTGTTCGGCGCAATGGGGCGGGGCTTGGCAAGCGCGGCGGAAAGCGCAGCACTGGACATCCCCGCCAGCGCGGGCGGCGCAGGCGCAAGGCGTCGCGGGGCGGGAAGGAGCGGAGACAGGATGGGCGGAGAGTGGTGCCTCGGCGGGGGGAGAGCGCTGCAGGCACCAGAGACTGCGACGGCGGCAGCCGCAGCGGCGGCGGCTGCAGCGGCGGCAGTGGCGGGGGTGGCGGAAGGTGCGGGCGGGACGGTGAAAGGAAGGACACGCGGAATTGGGTGGAGCGGAGACGAAGCCAAATGAGGCGCGGGTACGACAACAGGCGGAGAAAATGCTCCGCTTGTGGCGGGGGAGAAGGCGGAGCGCTGGAAGGACCGGCCAATGGTGACCATGGGTGGCGAGACAGACGGCGACGCTGGCTTCTTCAAATGCTGCTGGTTTGCGCCTAGACCTGACTTCGACGCAGTCTTTGGGGTAAGCGGCTTACGCTCTTCGTTCTTCACACCGCTACTCGCTGTAATCGGCGGCAGCTGCTCCTGCTCTTCCTGCTGTTCCTGCTGCTGCTCCTGCTGCTGCTGCTGCTGCGACTGAACCGGAGGAGAATCGTGCGACCGCTGTTCCGCCTGTTTCGCGAACGGTCGGCGAACAACACCCGCCTCATCCGACTCTGCACCAGCAGCAACAGCAGCTGCATCCACACCCTGACTCTCACTACCGCCTCCCGCCGATTCCTGTTTCCCTGACACTGGCCCGTCCGCCGAGGAGGTGGGAGCGGCGGGAGCACCGTGCGCCGCAGCCGCGTTTTCACCACGAAGCGAACGAAGAGTGCTCCGCAGAGGCTGCTTCGACGTAGCTGCTTCCGACGCGCGAGCGTCTCCGCCAGTCTCCTCACCGACCGTCCCATCCACCAAAACGCGTCGGCTTTCTCTTGAGCCCTGCTCCACGTGGCTAGGCGAGCCCGTGACAGCCGCTGCCATCTGCCGACTCTGTCGCTCCCCCTCTGCTTCTCCCCCCTGACGCTCGTCCATATCCTTTTCCCCCCTCTCATTTCCCTCCTCGCTCTCCTCCATCTCTTCCTCCTCCTCCGTCTCTATTTCCCCCTCCTCCTCCTCGTCGTCCTCGCCTTCCTCATCTACATCCTCCTCTACGTCATCAACGCGCCTGTATTCCGCCGAAGACTCCTGTTTCTGCGGGGAGTCCTGCTGCTGCTGCTGCCGCCACTGCTCGAGCGCGTGCGCGTGCGCAGGGTCTGACTTGCTCTGCTCGTCCGACTGTACTTCGCCCTCCTCGTCGCTGCGGCAATCGCGGGACCGCTTCAACCCGCAGCGGCTCCAAGCCACCTCCTCCGCGCCGCTGCTCACGCCGCGAGAGGACGTATTCCCGGTCTCGCACTTAGCGCCGCTGGCTACTTTACGCGCCGAGGCGTCCGAACCTGCCTGGACTTGCAGAATCGCTACGCGCGCAGAGAACTTGCTAGGCGTCTGTTCCTGTTCCTGTTCCTGTTCCGTATGAGTCGTATTGGCCGTGTTGACGGTATTGGCTATGTCTGACGGGGAGCGCGAACGAGGCTTCGAAACGACAGCGGGAGCGGCGGCGGCACACACGGAGGGCATGGAGCACCGCCGGGTTTCGCGGTCGCCCTCTTTAGATTCGGTAGAGGCTGACGCGTTAAGGTCGAGGCAGGGAATGGTGCCGACCGGGTGGTGACAGGTGTCAGTTGGATCATGGGGGTCCGCACGACGTCGCAGCGTGACGATGTAATCGTAAACTTCGTTAAGGAAATCCGCGGTATTAGCACCTTCGACGTGCGGCACGAGCATGCGCAGAGACTTCATCCTGGTTGAGAGGAAAAAACGGGAGACGGAAATTGAGTGAGGACACGCTTACATAAGGAACATTAAGCTTACAGGCGTTTATTAATCTTCTTCACAAAGAAACAACCACAGGAAGGAGTCACGAACACTAGGGAGGACGACAAGCACTGGAAGAGAAACTCTTCACGTGCTTCTTTCTAGTCTCTATAATAAAAAACTCAAGGTGGCGAGCAACCGAAAGCGCATACTTGTCCTTAATACGCGCCCTTCGCTTCTGCTCCGACGCCATGTGGCGCGTGGCGCACACGCCACTCCGCGATACCAGCGCCGCCGCTCCGCGCAAGCTGCAAGCACCTGCAGCCGCAGCCGGAGCCGCGACGGGACTGGCTCCATGGTTCGACGCTGCACTCCCAGCGCACGAGCCACCTGCAGGAACTGCTGGACCTGGCTGGCCTACTGCTGCTGCAGCGGCTGCGGCTGCGGCTGCTGCAGCGGCTGCAGCAACGGGATTTGGTGTGTACGTAATGGCCGGAAAGAATCTCGGAACCCCCAAGTTCCCGCACCCGTAGCCGAAGCCGCCAGCGGCAGCAACGCTACAGGGAGCTGCGATGGCGGCTGAGGCATTGCTGGACGGGAATGTGCCCGGCGCTACATTCTGCTGCGACGACAGCGGTCGTGGTGCTACGGCTATTACTCTCGGAGGTGCGGTGCGATGCATGGCAGGCAGCCTGGTAGCTCCCTGCTGCGACTACGGAAGGCTCGCGGACAAGCCAGAGTGAATGTGATGAATCGCAAGCGTAGGGAGATCCGAATCAGAGATGCTATTCGCAAGGAAAGGGGTGGAACTGCTCGAATGGTGGACTGGTCAGCTACCCCAACATGGACACTGAACGCGACGACAAGGACGCAAGAAACCAAATTTCCGAGTTAAAATAGGTGTTAGTCTCAAAAGGGAGGAGCGAGTGGCGTGAAAAGGCTGGGACGGACACCAGTGCTGGTCCGTGATACTGGCGAGTAAGCGACTCTCCACGCCTACCTACTAGCAGGGACGACCTATCACCCTAGCTCTACAGCTTCTAGCAGAACGATTGAGGACTACCGTGGCCGTGGCTCGTCGCAGCCATGGCCATTTCTTGCTAACGTGGGTGTCCACTATGTTGTGCAAATCAATTCTCAGAATCTCATAAATCGTAGGGGAGGCACCCGTGTCTCCATCTTAAAAGAATCACTTAGAAAGTATGGCGTACCATAACCAGCCAGCACGAATACGTTAACTACAGTAAAATTTCGGTGTATCATCCACGTCTACTTCAAGTTCTGTTACTTCCGTATTTAGGGCTAGAGATTGAAGACGACAGGGCTTTCCAGTCAAACATTGTGACTTCCAAGGCGTGAAAAGGACTTCACATGCTTTGGACTTGTAGAAATGAAGAATCAGATTTGAGACACTGGTGCCCTACTGTCTGGAGCTGACCAATGATACACTTCGCCCAATCGATAATCCCCAATCACCTCTGGAGGTTTCGCCTTGTCGCCGAGGTCCAGACCCCAAAAGTTAGGGCATGCTGGTTTGGGGAGCAGAAGAGCCGTTAGGTCGGATACACTTGGGGGAAATTGGGGAAGTGGGGGGGAAGAAGAGTGGTTGCGGTGGTTTGGGTTGGTGGGAATTTCGCTCGCAGCCGAGTTATTGAGGCGGGGGATTGGTTTGGAAAGGGGGAGTGTGGGGGTAATGGGTAAGCACAACTCCGCCGAACCAAACCCCTCCCTCTTTCCCCTACACGGAGTCACCGAGTCTTGGTATGCGAGGGACGAACGTCACGGATTGAGCGGCGTCACGCCGCAAAAGCTGATTCCCGCCGAAGCAGAGCATTCCATGCGACACCACCAGCATAGAAGCTGGTTCAACGAACCAGAATTTTCTTCGCGCCTCGTCTGGGATGCTATTCTGTCTTGATTTCGCCTACGTGGCAAGCAGATATTGGTCGAAGCCTGCTTCGCGCTTGTATTCCAACTTGGACAGCTCCCAAGAAATTGTCCTGCTGACATGTCCTGGTCCACCCAAGGCCACCGCGTTCCTATCTTTTTTTTTTTTTTTTTTTTTTTTTTTTTTTGGGCTTTAAGGAGATCCCCGGAGGAAACCAACCCCCCGTAGGGAGAAGGCGCTTCGGTAAGCAGCATTATCCGGCACTCCCAGTGAGCTTCAACGAGAGTTTTGCTCAATTCCGCGGAATCGCGGTTCGTTTTATTTTTGCCACGTGGCATGCCCTCGATCGTGGGAACCGCGATCTGATTTATTGTTCCCACAATTTTTAAAAGAAAATATAGTTAGGCTTAGTGAGTCACATGTACTGCCCTGCCCGCGGACAAAAATAAAACCCCTAAAGAAAAAACATGCGTTAGGGATGCATCAACCCTAAACACATAGACGCAAGGTGTTTAGGGTTGATGCCTCTCTAACGCATGCCATGCCCGAATGGGTTTTATTTTTGCCCGCGGGCAGCGCGGTACATAACTTAACTAAGTTTCTCTTGAACTTTGTGGGAACAATAAAACAGATCGCGGTTCGCGCGATCGAAGGCTTGCCACGTGACGAAAATAAAACGAACCGCGCTTCCGCGGAATTGAGCAAAATTCTCAGCTTCAACGAACTTCCAGGCACCACGGGGTCACTCAGGGATGACGTGTCCGTGGTGCACTCACCAATCCTATATTTTTTTTTCAAAGCAATGTGAGCAAATTCCACGAATATCATTGGGTGGAGCACGGGTCTTCCTCTCCATCACTCAGCCCATCGCATCTTGTCGAGCCTGAAAAGGTACGAATCCTTGGCAACTTCGAATCCTTGGCGCGCCATGCTGCAACCCACGTGGCAGTAAGGAGATAGGCAACGAGTCCCTCAAATCCAAGCACAGCCAATCAAGTGTGGAGCCGTGGCAAAGGATGGTGGAGGTGACTGCGCCGTGTCTCGATACTGTTCCAGGTTTCAGGGGGGTGAGGGCCATACATATCCCGCGTCGTCTGCTTTGACCACAAGAGAAATTTATCAGGGTACTGCTTCCAAATATGGGCCACATGTCCCCTCCGAAACCCCCTGCAACCCCAAAACTCTCTGGCAATTTGCGTGTCTGCTGGGGCTTGCTTGGTTGGCAGAAAAGCACCAGAGCGTAGTAAATCCTCCCTATGGAGTGGCGTCAAATACACAAATCGTACAAACCGGTACATGCATCCACTTTTCATATTGTATTCAATACAAGTTTTTCAGAATGCTTGTTTGAGTGTTTAGTTTTGTCTTGGTTGGTGTACCTGCTTGGAGAAACAAGTTTTGGTGATCAGATCAGGACGCGGTAAAAGTGCTCGATCGGGGGGAGATCGATCCGGTCACCGCACTGAAACCTCGCGTTTGGCTTACGAAAAGCACACAAACGTTTATAACCGTGCTAAAAAACGAACCTGAGGCGATCGATTCTCCACTTTTACCGCGTCCTCAGCACATGTCTTCTCGGACCAGAGGAGCCAGCGGGTGTCAGAAAAAAATATCATTGGCCAAATCAGCAACGAGTAACAGCAGAGGTGCGATAAAGGGAGCTTTCGCAATCTTCGCGCATTTTGCCAGCCATTTGCCACAGACAGACTAGGGTCAGAGAGTGGATCAGCTCAACCTCCAGATCTGAACCGCAACTGCTTGCCTAAATTCTTTATGCACGGCTGGGATTCACTTCGCTCCTAGTGGTTGGAACAAGAGCTTTGAATTCAAATCATTGGGCTTGCCGCGTTCCAAACTGACAGGATGATTCTGCGGCTCCAGATGAGAGGACAATTGACGGTTCCTAGTTCACGGAGTCCAACGTTCACCAACGAAATCCCGCAGCTCCCGCCTTTGTCAACGGAATCTCGCTGAAAAAAGGCGGTGTTGTTCGTCTTGCATAGCCCTGAGGTGAAAGGAGGGGACAAGCGAGCAGCATAAACTTGGCATTTTTCGTTTCCTTTCCCTGACCGGCAGGGGAATCAATTGCCACGCTGACGATTCTCAACCAGCCACCGAAGTGGACTCTCGACTCTCCCTGTCATGGACAGAAATTAAGCCTGACCGGACCAACCATTCGCAGCCACCGTCATTTTCCTCGCGACCCAACACAGCCGTTAGCCTGTAGACCAATGCGGAGCTTGATAGGGTTGCCGTGACGAAACACGCAAAAGGTCCGAACCTACGGCTGAGATCTTGATTACCTCGAGAGTTTCAGATAATCCAGTGATTTTGGACGGTAGATCTGACAAGAGGGATGTTGTGAGAGAAGGAGAGGAGAGGCAGTTGGTGACCCCTCCACCTCATCCCAGCCAACGTCACCGTCGTCTCTCGCCTCATTGTCGCCTTCGCCTCGAATTTCTCAGCGCTTTCGCCTCTTGCTCTCATTTTCTCACGCTCACCATCTTCTGCTCGTTTTCTTAGAGCTGCTGCGACTGCGAAAAGGAGAGCCGCTAGCGATGCTCTTTCTCAACACATGCTGAGGCATTTTGCTTCAGGTCTGGCTTTATCGTAGGAGCTTAGGCATTCGCAATACAAGCTGGAGCCATTCTGCTTCATGTCTGGCTTTTACGGGAGTTTCGTTATAGGAGGAGAAAATCGGGTGTTGGCGTTATGAAGCCTGGAAGCTGGCGTTATCAATTTAGTATCGCAGTACGTTTCGCGAGCTACTTCCCTGACGCACGCTGTTACCGCGTCTCTCCACCCGCCACTGCAGGCCGCCGTGCGCCACGCCGTTCCCACCCTCCGGACGGGTGCGAAGCTGCTGGGTGCCTCAACCACTCTCGCCACCTGCAATTTCGGCCCCACACGCAGCCCTCTCTGCTCCTCCCACCCCAGACGCAGCGCTCTCTGCTGGGTGCCTCAACCACTCTGCAGCTGCTGCTCCACGCGGGGACATAGAGTGCACAGGCAGCAGCTGCTCTCCCCCCAACTCATCCACAGCTAAGCTAAGTACCCCGCCCTGCCTCTCTCCTCCCAACCCTCGTGCTTGTGTTGCCTTTCATGTCTCGCTTGCATGGTACATCAAACTCCCTTCTTTACTGCCCTCTGTCACACTCAAGAGACCTCCCTCCCCCAAGGTAGCAAGGTAGCAGGTGCGTGCTCAGGTATTTGGTTTAGTGTGGTTCAGCTGGTATGAGGTCTCTTGGGTGTGCCACTGCAGCAGTCCAATCATGCATGCATAATTTCTTCTCTCTCTGCTCTCACTTCGCTCACTTGTCCTCGCTTCTTTCCTCACTGCCCTCCCCACTAATCAATTCCCGTCC